GACTAGTGCGCATGTCCACCAGATGTGGAGCATAGTCCCTTCCTGTGTCTTGCATCTCCAGCATCTGTCACTTATGTCTGGGTATATTTTCTTGAGCCGTGAAGGTACCATGTACCATCTATATATTAATTTGCGCGAGGTCTCGATGTGGGAAGCACAGGTTGTGAGTCCCTTGTGGTTTGTGTGGATGCATTGCCAATCGTCTTGTGTGAGAGACCTGCCTATGTCCCTATGCCATTCTGTCTGGTATCTCCACTCCGTCTCGGTTTCACTCTCAGTGATTGACTTATAGCACACAGACAGCGTCTTTTTAGTTGGGATTTGGTGTATGCACATCTTTTCGAAAGTGGTTAGGGTGGTGGGGTGTGCAGGTGGGGGGCTTTGTCTTGTGGCTTTGCCTATTAGTGCTTTCATCTGCCAGTATGAGAACGTGAGCTGTGGAGGTATGTTATATGTGGCTAGTATTTCTGGCAACTGGTGTAGTCCCTGCGGGGAGCTTATCTGGTGCAAGTGTGTGATACTGGAGGCCTTCCATGTTCTGTATGGGAATGTGCTATTGTAGAGATTTATTGAGTGTAGTGGCGTTGCCATAGACCATGGTTCTGCGGAACATAGTTTGGACCTTTGACTGTCCCATATGCGGTACAAAAGTTTAGTGGTGGGTAGGGCGTTTGGCGGTGTGCGGCGCAGTTGTTTGGGTATCCACAGGGCCGCAGGGAGATCCGCGACCCCGCTACAACTAGCCTCTATCTCTATCCATTGGGGGTGTATGTAGTGGAGTGCATGGCAATAATGTTGGCCGTTTGTGCAGCCTGGTGGTACGCCTTAAGATTCGGGAGGCCACATAGTATTTTTTATTAGCCCCCATGCTCTGGATTCTCAGTGTCACATAGTATTTTATTAGCCTCATGCTCTGAATTCTTAGTATCACATAGTATTTTTATTAGCCGCCATGCTCTGGATTCTTAGTGTTACAGAGTATTTTATTAGCCTCATCCTCTGGATTCTCAGTGTCACATAGTATTTTATTAGCCCCATGCTCTGGATTCTTAATGTCACATAGTATTTTATTAGCCCCCATGCTCTGGATTCTTAGTATCACATAGTATTTTTATTAGCCGCCATGCTCTGGATTCTCAGTGTTACATAGTATTTTATTAGCCCCCATGCTCTGGATTCTCAGTGTCACATAGTATTTTATTAGCCCCATGCTCTGGATTCTTAATGTCACATAGTATTTTATTAGCCCCCATGCTCTGGATTCTTAGTATCACATAGTATTTTTATTAGCCCCCATGCTCTGGATTCTCAGTGTCACATAGTATTTTTATTAGCCCCCATGCTCTGGATTCTTAGTGTTACAGAGTATTTTGCTCTGGATTCTTAGTGTTACAGAGTATTTTGCTCTGGATTCTTAGTGTTACAGAGTATTTTATTAGCCCCATGCTCTGGATTCTTAGTGTTACAGAGTATTTTATTAGCCCCCATGCTCTGGATTCTTAGTATCACATAGTATTTTTATTAGCCCCCATGCTCTGGATTCTCAGTGTTACATAGTATTTTATTAGCCCCCATGCTCTGGATTTTTAGTGTTACAGAGTATTTTGCTCTGGATTCTTAGTGTTACAGAGTATTTTGCTCTGGATTCTTAGTGTTTACAGAGTATTTTATTAGCCCCATGCTCTGGATTCTTAGTGTTACAGAGTATTTTATTAGCCCCATGCTCTGGATTCTTAGTGTTACAGAGTATTTTGCTCTGGATTCTTAGTGTTACAGAGTATTTTACTCTGGATTCTTAGTGTTACAGAGTATTTTGCTCTGGATTCTTAGTGTTATAGAGTATTTTAGTCTGGATTCTTAGTGTTACAGAGTATTTTACTCTGGATTCTTAGTGTTACAGAGTATTTTATTAGCCCCATGCTCTGGATTCTTAGTGTTACAGAGTATTTTACTCTGGATTCTTAGTGTTACAGAGTATTTTACAGAGTATTTTACTCTGGATTCTTAGTGTCACAGAGTATTTTGCTCTGGATTCTTAGTGTTACAGAGTATTTTATTAGCCCCATGCTCTGGATTCTTAGTGTTACAGAGTATTTTACTCTGGATTCTTAGTGTTACAGAGTATTTTATTAGCCCCATGCTCTGGATTCTTAGTGTTACAGAGTATTTTATTAGCCCCATGCTCTGGATTCTTAGTGTTACAGAGTATTTTATTAGCCCCATGCTCTGGATTCTTAGTGTTACAGAGTATTTTACTCTGGATTCTCAGTGTTACATAGTATTTTATTAGCCCCATGCTCTGGATTCTTAGTGTTACAGAGTATTTTATTAGCCCCCATGCTCTGGATTCTTAGTGTTACAGAGTATTTTACTCTGGATTCTTAGTGTCACAGAGTATTTTGCTCTGGATTCTTAGTGTTACAGAGTATTTTAGTCTGGATTCTTAGTGTTACAGAGTATTTTACTCTGGATTCTTAGTGTCACAGAGTATTTTGCTCTGGATTCTTAGTGTTACAGAGTATTTTATTAGCCCCATGCTCTGGATTCTTAGTGTTACAGAGTATTTTACTCTGATTCTTAGTGCTTGCTATATATTTTACTCTGATTCTTAGTAGCTACAGAGTATTTTTACTCTGATTCTCAGTGTTACAGGAGTATTTTATTAGCCCCATGCTCTGGATTTAGTGTTACAGAGTATTTTACTCTTGATTCTTAGTGTTACAGAGTATTTTGCTCTGGATTCTTAGTGTTACAGAGTATTTTACTCTGGATTCTCAGTGTTACATAGTATTTTATTAGCCCCATGCTCTGGATTCTTAGTGTTACAGAGTATTTTATTAGCCCCCATGCTCTGGATTCTTAGTGTTACAGAGTATTTTACTCTGGATTCTTAGTGTTACAGAGTATTTTGCTCTGGATTCTTAGTGTTACAGAGTATTTTATTAGCCCCTTGCTCTGGATTCTTAGTGTTACAGAGTATTTTACTCTGGATTCTTAGTGTTACAGAGTATTTTATTAGCCCCATGCTCTGGATTCTTAGTGTTACAGAGTATTTTACTCTGGATTCTTAGTGTTACAGAGTATTTTACTCTGGATTCTTAGTGTTACAGAGTATTTTATTAGCCCCATGTTTGGATTCTTAGTGTTACAAGGTGAGTATTTTACTCTGGGATTCTTAGTGTTACAGAGTATTTTATTAGCCCCATGCTCTGATTCTTAGTGTGTTACAGAGTATTCTGTCTTGATTCTTTTAGTGTGTTATATAGAGTATTTTGCCTTGATTCTTAGTGTTACAGAGTATTTTGCTCTGGATTCTTAGTGTTACAGAGTATTTTACTCTGGATTCTCAGTGTTACATAGTATTTTATTAGCCCCATGCTCTGGATTCTTAGTGTTACAGAGTATTTTATTAGCCCCCATGCTCTGGATTCTTAGTGTTACAGAGTATTTTACTCTGGATTCTTAGTGTCACAGAGTATTTTGCTCTGGATTCTTAGTGTTACAGAGTATTTTGCTCTGGATTCTTAGTGTTACAGAGTATTTTATTAGCCCCATGCTCTGGATTCTTAGTGTTACAGAGTATTTTACTCTGGATTCTTAGTGTTACAGAGTATTTTACTCTGGATTCTCAGTGTTACAGAGTATTTTATTAGCCCCATGCTCTGGATTCTTAGTGTTACAGAGTATTTTGCTCTGGATTCTTAGTGTTACAGAGTATTTTACTCTGGATTCTTAATGTCACATAGTATTTTATTAGACGCATGCTCTGGATTCTCAGTGTTACATAGTATTTTATTAGCCCCATGCTCTGGATTCTCAGTGTCACATAATATTTTATTAGCCCCATGCTCTGGATTCTTAGTGTCACAGAGTATTTTGCTCTGGATTCTTAGTGTTACAGAGTATTTTACTCTGGATTCTTAGTGTTACAGAGTATTTTACTCTGGATTCTTAGTGTCACAGAGTATTTTGCTCTGGATTCTTAGTGTTACAGAGTATTTTATTAGCCCCATGCTCTGGATTCTTAGTGTTACAGAGTATTTTATTAGCCCCATGCTCTGGATTCTTAGTGTTACAGAGTATTTTATTAGCCCCATGCTCTGGATTCTTAGTGTTACAGAGTATTTTACTCTGGATTCTCAGTGTTACATAGTATTTTATTAGCCCCATGCTCTGGATTCTTAGTGTTACAGAGTATTTTATTAGCCCCATGCTCTGGATTCTTAGTGTTACAGAGTATTTTACTCTGGATTCTTAGTGTTACAGAGTATTTTACTCTGGATTCTTAGTGTTACAGAGTATTTTACTCTGGATTCTCAGTGTTACAGAGTATTTTATTAGCCCCATGCTCTGGATTCTTAGTGTTACAGAGTATTTTGCTCTGGATTCTTAATGTCACATAGTATTTTATTAGCCTCATGCTCTGGATTCTCAGTGTTACATATTATTTTATTAGCCTCATGCTCTGGATTCTCAGTGTCACATAATATTTTATTAGCCCCATGCTCTGGATTCTTAGTGTCACAGAGTATTTTACTCCGGATTCTTAGTGTTACAGAGTATTTTACTCTGGATTCTTAGTGTCACAGAGTATTTTACTCTGGATTCTTAGTGTTACAGAGTATTTTACTCTGGATTCTTAGTGTTACAGAGTATTTTACTCTGGATTCTCAGTGTTACAGAGTATTTTATTAGCCCCATGCTCTGGATTCTTAGTGTTACAGAGTATTTTACTCTGGATTCTCAGTGTCACAGAGTATTTTATTAGCCCCATGCTCTGGATTCTTAGTGTTACAGAGTATTTTACTCTGGATTCTTAGTGTTACAGAGTATCCCATTAGTCATGCAGTTGAACATTCTGTTGCAGGTAGCAGTTTCTTCAACGTTCTCTGATAAACCAGCTGAGCCACGGCTGAGAGCTGTGCCGAGTGCATGGGGTGTGTCTGGTGACGTCAGTGGTGGGCGTGGCGGTGTTCCCCTCCCTCCCATTGAGAATGTGTGCCTAGCAGAGAGCAGCTCATTGCAGGGATAGGAACTGGAGCTACAAGGAGCAGGTTTCCCTCTCCTCCTGAGCAGAGACCCCATCCCATACCCAGGAGTTTATTATACAGCAAGGAGCAGTGCCAACTGGTGCTGGGTCACCTGGAGACATGACTGACACTATACTTCCAATGGATCCCAAGGGCAAAGACCAGGGCTACTTCAGGAAGGTAGGTGAAAACTCATCGCTTGCTCTGACTGGGGCAGGTGTTGCTGGGCTGGTTATAACAAACTCTCTGTTAGTAATAATGTAGTGCTGTGATATATTAATAAATAGTCAGCGGTTTACAGAATGCTGGACTAGTGTTACTGACACAGTGTATCAGAGCAGGTAGGAGAGTCTGTGGGGAAACAGAGTATGGGGGAATCATACGCTTTGTGTACAAGCTTGTAATGTATAGGGAAGGAGAGTTAGCTGCCATCCTGGGTATAAAGATAGCATGGTGAGCAGCTACGTACAAGGTATAGAGAGAGCTCGCCTTACAAGCTGACAATCTATTGTACAGGTGACATGCAAAGTATAGGAAGATCCCTATTATAGCCTTGCAGTCTGTTATACAGGGATTGGGCCGGTGACATATAGGCTATAAATAGAGCCTTGCTGGCAACCATACAATCTGTGGTAGATGGCAAGTACAGGGTATAGAGAGATCTCTCCTTACAAGCTGACAATCTATTTTACAGGTGTGGGGACAGGTGACTTAAAGGGTATAGAAATGTCCCTATTATAAGCTTGCAATATGTTGTACAGGGAAAAGGACAGGTGACACAGGTTATACAGAGAGCTCACTATCTAGAGATGGGGGAGGTGAACACAATGTATAGACAGTGTTTGGCTAATAAGCTTACGATCTACATGGATTGGTAAAATGACATACAAGTTATAGAGAGATCCCTGATATGAAACATCAAGCATTTAATCTAAATAGAGTCCTATTCACAAGATTACAGTTTAGAGATTGAGGGGAAGGTAGAACACAAGGTACAGTGAGACCTGCTCAAATCACTGAGCAGGTGACACCCTATTTATAGATATGGTTGTCCTCTGAAGCTTATGTTTTTCCATTAATCTAGAAACTGTTTGTGGACATATACATTGCAGGAGAGCAGAGAGGGGATTGAGCAGTTTGCAGGGTTCTGTAAATTAGGGGTGCTATCAATAGAGGATTAGTGTGTGGGCTTCTTGGGAGAGTTGTTCCCTTATCAATGTGAAAAAAATAAATCTGTGATCTTATCTAGAACAATCTAAAAAAATGGACATTTTCTGCCAAGTCTTCATAATTTGTGCAAAGGGGATCTAATGCCTGGGGGGATAGAAGGGGTGGGGTACGGGCAATTATAAAAGGTTATGGCATGCCTAGGTGAGGCTCCTGTCACTTGGGGGAATTTGTTGTATTTTTAGACAAGCTATTCGACTTTATTTAGTAACTACAGGACACATTAGCAAGGTTCCTTATTCTAATATACGGATAAATTTTAAACAAATACAATATTTGTTTAAAGCTAACAAAATGATCCGTGTGACTTTATTTAGCTATACATCTAATGATCAGTGGCTTACAGGGGTTCAAGGAAAGGGGGCACCTGCTTGTCAAAATTTAGTCTTTAGAACGCCCATTAACCAGGGTCACTCTGTCACTTGCAGATTAAACCCCGGTCACACCTGCGTTGGTGACTCATGTTGATATCACCGTTTTCATGGTCACTTTAAAACGTGGCGGCTGCTGATGTTGATTTATGCAGAATGGGTTATGTAGAATGTTGTCTTCTGGATATGTCATGGGGTGTAACATCCTAATTTAGTATATTGGTACACAGTTATTAATAGTTTATAGAGGGGTGGGATGTAAACTGTAAGCATTAATTGAAATCCAATAACAACTGTATTACTCACTACAGACACTTCTATCCTATCCTATTCTAAAAAAAAACCTCAACCCGTAGTGTAATTTTACACAATGGTGTGGATCTATATCTAGCAGTCCATCAAGTAAGCCATCTGGACTGTCGATGTGGCGATGTAAAAAAATAAGGAATTAGGCTGGGGTCTTCTCTTTTGGGTATTTTTTTTTTTTTTTTTTTGGAGATCCCAATATAATATTCCACAGGGACTAGACACGCAACGTGTCTGAGTCTTCAATGTGTCATATACAGCTTAGTATGGTCAATTGTAGGCGTTCACAACTTTTTGATACCAAATCTTCTTAGACAACTTGCTAAATATCATAGAATTCTGGCCAAGATTGGACATACATATGATCTATAGCGTCTTTTAAATATTGTCACTTAATATCAAGACATATTGTAGTCATTGATTAGAAGGATTGCAACAGTCTTGATGATCATTTTCTGAAATCTATTTTTCCTTCATTTATGCCCCTTCAAAGGACTGCTCTCTTATTGATTTCATTGGCCAAATGTGCCAATATGGCACTCTTCAAATCAGGCCAGCGCATCTTATTTATATTAATCCTAATAAAGCTTTTGAAGAACAAATTAATCATCAGATGTGAACGTTGGTGTTTTATTTATTTCTTTCAAGGTAAAGGAAGCTTTTAACCTAATCGGCAGATTTGGGATAGTTCATTGAAAGGGCTGTTTGTACGCCATACATGAAAGATTTGACGCGTTTTTTTCTGACAGTGCTGTAAAGCTTTTACTGCCTTTTGAAGATCCATTAAACATGTTATGCATTTGATCTTACTCAGATGGATTTCAATATTAAACTAAAAACACCTCCTATCCGTGCGCACAAATGCCTGACGGTCAGGAGAAAGGAGCGTTCAGCTTTGGTTTAACCCTTGACACTGCCAGAATGTGGTTTATTGACTAAACTCTTGAAGTCAAGGCGATGGTTGTCCTGCTTTTAATTGAAAACTGCCCAAGTGAAATTCAAATTTTAGGCCAAACAGTCAACATATAAACTTAGCTGACTTAGAGAATTTCTTTGCTAATTGTGGCAAACAATTTGAATCTCAAATTGAATTTCTGAAAATTTACAATTTAGTGAATAACCCTGTCAGTTAAGCCAGTTCTCAGTTAAAAGCAGAAAAAATCTCAGTGCTAAATGCATGTAAATTCAAGTGTTAAACTTAACTCACTTAGCTGAAGGGACTCGGCAAAATCCAGTGAAAAGTGGTTAAGCCTGGGTAAACTTGTATCCAACTTGGATGCGGTGGGTTGGGACCCAACAAAGGCAGCCTCACAACAGATAAATCCACTAATGATTTTTTGTTTACATTAACCACTTACATGCCAGTGGGTCCTACATTTTGCAAGTCTGTGGTCAGCTTACTGTTTAGTGTGTAAACAACCTAAGACCAGGCGCTGTGTGCCACCCACCCCCTGTGCTGTCCACGTTAATTCTGAATAAACTACTTTGAAGTATGGGCCTTTGGTTTGAGTTAAAGTTTAATCATTCAGTGTTCTGGTCATGAAAGGGTAAATAAAAGTTGCATTAACAAAGTGCCACTTCAGACGGGAAGTGCCCCAGAGTCAGTCGCCACATTTATTAGAAGAGGCTGGGCATTGTTCCATCGCCCTAAGAACAGTGCAAAACACTTGAAATTCTAATGGTGCATGCATGTCTCTGTTGACAAAATAAAAGCCCATTTTTTATTGGATTGGTTTAGTGACACCAGCAATAGGCTACATGTTATGATCCACCTGCTGGGCACTGCCTGGCTGACACAGGATCATGGGAGTTAGAGCAGCTGATATGTTAGCCGCCAACCCATGTGCTAGGTAGGGGGTTGCCTGCGTTTGTTCTATAGGTGTGCAACAAATAGAATAGGATGCATTGTAGCTCTCACAGGGGAACATTAGCTCAACACAAGGGGGGCAGCTTCAAAGGCTAATGGCAAAAAGGGGCATTCTTTGTTTCCATGGAAACAGGCCATGGCTAACATGGGGCCCCAGTACTGTCAGGTTACACAGAAGGGGCCATACAGTAAGTCTGCATATCTGAGACCTCGCAATATCTAATTGCATATCTAATTGCACTCCGTTTTATATTTACCGCCAAGAAGTGGGACTTCTGATAGCGACATTTTACCAATAATGCCCTTACAGACTTTACTGAGCGTTGAAATAATTCAAAAATTTATGTTTCTGGAATTCTTAGAGTATTAAAAATAAAAACTAAAGTGTCTAAAAAATTGTTATTTACTAAAGTGTGTTTTTTTTTTTTTTGTTTGTTTTTTTTTTGGTCGTGGCGGGGGGTGGGGGTTAAGAGTTTTCAGTTCAGCTAATCTGTTCTAAAAGTATAAAATTCACTTTGAATTCCCATACCCATCACATTTTAGTGAACAACCTTAAACCATTTTCATGCATAAATTTATTAACAATGTGGCTGTCAAAGTGTGGAAATGCAATGTTATGCTCTTTAAAGTGACACTGTGGGGCTTATTCCTTTACCAATGAATTATAGTGAATTGGAAGCACAACCGCAACATTTATTCTAAAACAGCCAGGCTGTGACTGACTGTAGCAGGGCTGGCGAGTTTTTCTAAAACATCTATGTTTGCCTAAATTTTGTAATTTGCTTTTCAAATCACTGTAATTAACTGTTTAGTGAATAAACCCCAATTGTCAACCTTCATCCCCAAGCTCCTACTTGGTATATGCAAAATGGCTGCAGTGTCCGGCCTACACAGGCATGTGAAGCCTTTATTAGATTTTCATTGGTAGTTTTCCAGGGATGGTAAATCCTTAACACTAGAAGCTATGGCTTGTGCAGGTTAATGGACTGAAGTAAGTTAAAGAAAACAAAAAAAAAAGAAGAAAGAAAGTGAATTCGCTCCTTTTAATCTCCTCCAACTCCGTCTCCAGATCTTGCAATTCAGGTTCAACTAGTCTTGTAGGTCTTTTCCTTTTTATGTAATGATTCTCTTTGACATCTCACTTACTGTTTTGAATCAGAGTTAACCCTTTTTGTTTCAAACTGCACTAAGCCAGCTTCTCTGGACTACCACCCCCAGGTTGCTCAGCCAGCCAGAAAAACTGTATAGGTGTGTGGCGGCCTACCTTTGTAAGACAATTTGAGTGTTAAGCATTGACTGTTTTAGAAAAAAATAAAATAAAAGCAAGGCCCTGGTGAAAAGAGGGTTAGTATGCTAAGACTATATAAACATTATTGCTTTGTATAGAACTTATTTTTTTTTAAACAATGCCCTCTATAAACTTTTTATACGTTAATATAAGTAAACCTATTATAAGATTTTATTTATAACAGTTTTATTGAACGTAGCAGCCTCTCCTAGTTCCTGCAATGATGTCTAATGATTTTATCATTATAAACAATATAAAACACATTTTGGTTTACACATAAATAGAACTTTGTTGGCTTAGACATTGCAAACCCTTTAAGTACGTAAAGAGAACACGACTTGTAAATCTCAAGAGTCAAAGAGCCCAAGTTCTAAAAATGTTAGAACATTTTGGTAAAATCTACCCTTTATTACTATGCATATACGTCTATTGATTTCATTCTTTACTGACCTCCTGAAACTATGGTATGTTTAACTCCAAAATAAATGCATAAATTCATTGGGCTATCTAAATATTCTATTTGGCTCTTAAAATGTGCAGTTTGACGCCTACAGGGATCCATCTCTTTAATAGCCAACTAAAACATTTGGCTTCTAAAATTCTCCGCTATCCTTCTAGACTTCTAAAACCATCCAATTTGACTCCTAAAATCCTGCTAACATCATTCCGTTTGTATGTTCGGTTATATCTCCTTATGGGTCTACATTCCTTTTGTTTAATACACAGATATAGCTAGCTGGAATACTAAAACTCCCATTTTACTCTTAAAATTATGTATCTCATTAGTGACCAACCCTGTCTGCGACTTCTTTTATTTTGGTATCCGGACAACAACAGTCCAGTGGTTTTCTCTCAGAAGATTGAAGATCATTGCATTAGCAACCTACTTAAGCAGTAAACAAAGGGGGTTATCAGTAACGTTCAGCTGCATTTTTACCTGTTTCCCTTCCTGTTGTGCATCCCAAACAGAGATGCTAAGTGTCCTTAGTTAAACAATCATCCCTTTATTTTCTTGTCTAAAGAGCCAGCAGGACTGTCTATACCTATTGTGGGAGCTGACTGACCTACTGGGCTATTAGGATTTTAATGATTTCTGGCACGCTGGGTGGTCACTTGCCACTCACAGAGGCTTTGATCTCTGCAGAACCACTAGGGAGTTACAAGTCCCAGTGCTGCTTGTTTTCTGTTAGGAATTGTTTAATTGATCCAGTAGGAATCCTCAAGAACCTGAGGTATATAGCATTCACATGCTCTCGCAGCATATGAATGCTATATTCTACGGGGCAGCACCAGTCTAAGGTGAAATGATATCAGTTTAGGATAACATGTTTAGTCTTGTACTTCTCCTTCAGCCATAGCAAAACATTTTAAGATGTGATTTTACAGCAGTGCAGGTATTTACAAATCCAAGTTAGCTGTGTTTTAGTTTTTTATTATATTGAGAAATTGGAAAGGGAATTGCAATTTTTGGGGGCCAAAGTAGCCTGATCATCTGTTTTTCCAAATCAGTACTCCTCAATTCTCCACAAATTCTCAGTTTTTTTGAATAACCCATGCGGTATAAATCTGGATTCACTTTTCTGTTAGCATTATCTGTGATCACGAATACAAATGACACGTTAACTACTTATAATGGGACGTGCGTACAAAATTCAGCCGTATTACCTTCGCCTACGTGCAGTAAAAATGTTAAAGGCTGCGATCTTACTCGACTTGGAGAAAATAGCTCATTTACATGATTACTTTATGGAGCATTAAGTAACAAGTACAAATGATTCATATTGTGGAATAATGGCAAGTCATGCACATGTTGCTGTAGTGAGTGCTGTCTTGTGCTGTACACAGAGAGGCTGTACACTTGCAAACCAGCATCCATTGCCTCTGGGTCAATGTGCGTGCTAATATTGTGTGCCACACACTGTCTGGTCTTGGGAGTGAGCAAGTAAAAATGGTGTTTCAAACACTTAAAGGGACGGTAAAGTAAATGTCACAAACCATAAAAGAAGGGATTTACAGGAGTGGACGAAGAGGTCTAAGGAAAAGAGTTAAAAATTGAATGCACCACAAGAGGGGTCTAAGTAAGTGGAAGTGAGATTAGATAAAAGCTGAAATCTTGAACCAATTCTCTCCAGGTGTTGCACAGCTGGGGATGATATATCTCAATAGGACAATCCACAAACACATGAACGCTGGTTGAAGGATTAACGTGAGCCTAAGTACTGCCCCAATCTGTATTGTATGCCAAGATGTGCAGATCTGAAACCATCACATTCACATCCAGGAAAGCACAAAGCTTCTTTTCATCATAAGGAGCACATGCCGAGCAAAATGTTTATCAAACAATCCTATTCTGATGAACACATATGATTACATGAACATTTATGTTACGATCTGAATGTTGCAGTCTAACCTGGAAGGGGACGTACATGGACTAATGTCAACCATTAGCATTACTACACAATCTTCATTCTCAAAGATATTATTCAATAAAAGACATCTGCTCGCAGGCAGATCTGTGTATTCATAGTAGCCAAGTTCTTCCACATAGAATCAAGAGCTCCACCTAGTACAAATTGCCGGTTCTAATCACTTAGGTCTCCTCGTTGAGTAGGTAACTACAAGTTATCGTGACTTAGCAAATGTCGATTAGTAGATATTATTGAGGAATAATTTATGAATCCATAAACTTGCTTGATGAACTGAACCGTTTTTTTCAAATCCCTATTTTTATCCATCTAGATGCCCTTTGTTTTATTTATTTATTTATTTAAATTCACTTAGTATATGTGATGTACTTTTTGTTATGAAGCGTGCGATCTTTGGCGATGGTCTGTTTCAGTTCCCAAAGTAATTTTACCAAAAATCCATCAGTTGCAATAGTCCCATGAAAGGATCCGGAGGACAGATTCTACAGAAAACGTGCCTTAAAATATTTTGCTTAAATTGGTATACAGTCACTTGAGATTAGTGTTGTTTTTTTTTTGTTTGGTTGCATGCAGACCTATTTCTAAACATTGTTGGGTTCTCCACTTGTTCCTTCATTGCATTGAGCGGCATTAAGCGGCAGGAGGGACTTGTTTTATTTGTAAACGTGACAGTTTTAGACAAGGATGTCTACAATAGCTGGATTGCTACCTGGCCGACTTTCCAAATATGGTCAGACTAATCCTTGTCTACAATTTTAAGAGAACTCGAGGCTGTCTTTGGAATTTGTTCTAGATATCGTAGTACATGTTCCTCTAGACAGTAATCTGTTATGGGTATGTGGCATCAGTTCTGGCACACTTGGCCTCTTTTCAGCTATTGTTGTTGCTTTCAGACTCACCTTGGAGTCACTTGGTACCTCTACATCAATGACATGACTTAAAACAAAATTGATCGTTTATGTGAAGGCATTGCAGTTTATTCCCAGACATCTCTCAATAAAATATCAAAGCTTTGTGGGTGAATGCATTTGCTACCAGCAGGTGTATACGATGTATTTGTAATATAGATAAATGGCTTGTTTGTAGTAAAGATTTATGAGCGATGAGATTAGCGTGGGTGGAGTGGCATTGCTCCTGTCTAAAAGAACATCTTAGAATAAAACCTGCTGGGCTTCTTATAATGAACACATGGCTACTTTATTATTTTGTGTAACTCCGCAGCAGTCAACAGCTCTAAATGCTAATCTTGACTGGTTCTAGAATTGACTCCTGCAATGGGCTAGGGTAGTCAACACATTTGGAAACCTTGACAATTAAGAGGGGGTGGAGAAGTTAAATGGGAGGACCTTTATCTATCAGAAGATGTGTGCAGCAAATTGTTCTAGATAATGACTAGGGGCTGATTTCTGTTGATTTAAGACTGAAGTGTCATTGATTTAGCCAAAAAGAGTTCAGAAGTCTGTAACCTTTAGACTTTAACGGGAGGATGGTTTGAGTATACCACGTAGGATATATTGAGATTATTAGTTACTTTCAGTGCTTGACTTGGGCTTAGATGATATTACTATCCAACTCCATGTTACACATTTTTTTTTTAAATCAACATAGCATCTTCACTTTTGTTCTGGAGTATAAAATGTTATTTACCAACTCGCTGTTCCTAATCAACCTCAGAAGGAGAAAATGTTGGTTGAACCACGGGTTCTGATTTTCAAACAGGTTGTAGAAGTGGTGCATGTACTGCCTGCACTAATCTCACCGGTTCTGAGTGTGATAGAGCCCGTGAGATAGCGGCTAGCTCCATGCACTATGTACAATAGATTATATTGATTCTGGGAAAGGCAGTAGAGTAGAATTGTTCTAGAATATTTGTCAAGTATCTAGATGCACATACCGTTCCACCTTGCATCATGTACAAAGTAATGTAAGCTCACTACACTCTCTCCTGTTAATCATTCGCCACTGACTGACAAGCAATGATATTCTGTTGACTTCAAACATTTACCTGACAATGCGGAGGAATCACAGCACAATGTACAATGAGGTGTGATAACATTTCACATAGATAAGATCTCTTCTACCTGAAAAGAATTTGTCCAGATCATATTTCACATATCTGTCCTTCCCCTTTGTAGTTCAATAGTTTCCAGATGGGAGAAAGTGCTCAGAGCTGTAACGTATCCTGCTCCCCATACGTTTCCATTTTAAACTGGGGTGGGGGAAAAATGTACGAGGCAAAACACGACCCATTAATTGACGTGTTCTGTAACACTTACTATATATGTAAAAGTTTCCAAATTGTTATTTAAAATGTGTGTATTTGCTAATAATTATTTTTCTTTTACAAATTTTAAGATTATAATTAGTCAGCAGCAGTGTTAATTTTATCGACTAACAATTTTAGTCAAATTTGTGAGATTTAGTCGACTAAAACAATTCAGATGACTACAATACGACTAAAACTAAATTGAAATTTGCCGCCAAAATTAAAACTGGTCAGCAAGCTGGTGAAAAATGTTCCCCTTTTCAGTTCTGAATCTCTGTCTTAAGGCAGCTTGTTTTCATTAATGGTTGAATTTACTCACTATCCCTCAAAACATCCAAATTTTTCAAAGAATTGTCTTTCCCAAAGATCCTCCAAGGCCTTCTGAAATTTAGCTCTGGTAATAACTTATCAAGCTTCCATGATCGAATCGTGGAGTCCTGTGAGTTCTATACCTATTGCTTAAAGTAGCTCTTCATTTCATCAACCCTTATATTACTTTCTCGACACAACCACAAGGATCCCATATTATTATTATTATTTCATTATTTATATATCGCCAGCAAATTCTGTAGCGCTGTACCATATGAAGCTTTTGCTTGAATGTCACTTCTTCAACTTTGGAACAGGACACATCTCTTCAAATATGTTTTACAGATTAAACCTACTTAAATGTATTAACTTTCTTTTTCTAAGGATTAGTAACTATATTAGCTCTTTTTGTGAATTTTATTAGACAACAGAATGAATGACCTTGTCCTTCAATCTAAATATTTAGTATCTTTACTGGTCAACTCACCAAAGGTGATTTGAAACAACATTTATTGCACTGTTCATGAAATTTCATAGAGTACAGTTTTGAAAATAATTAAACTTAATTTAGTAGTAGCAAGTTGCTGAAAGGTTTAAAATATGCAGTAGTTGTCGTGGACATATCTTATGATCATATATGATTGATTGGTTTAGCAAAGTTCTCTGGCCACAGATTTCCATAGGGATCAGTGATTTCTACATTTTCAATATCTGTTCAGTCGTTAAATAATGTTTTTACCTATTTTGTCTTTCTATTTCTCTTGGTCGACTTGTTACCTGGGCGTCTTTGTACCACATTCCTGGCATGTCTCCAATATCAGATCCACCTGCCAACCATTGTTTACCTTCTTCAAACGGGCATGAGATTTAGTTTAAAAAAATGAAAAACTTTGTGAGTGAGTAATAAGTGTGTTATCAGGGTTTAACAAAACAAAATATGATCTACAGATTGGGTTGATTTACACACTCATTTGTTTAATTTAAAGGGACACTGTAGGCACCCAGACCACTTCAGCTCATTGCAGTGGTCTGGGTGCCAACTCCCGTCACCTTTAACCCTGCAAGTGTAATTATTGCAGTTTTTATAAACTGCAATAATTACCTTGCAGGATTAAGTCATCCTCTATGGGCTGCCTACCAGACGCTATGCATGAGGACCTCCAGCATCGCCGGAATCCCCATAGGAAAGCATTGAATAATGCTTTCCTTTGGGGAGGTCTAATGTGCGCACGCGGCCATTGCTGCGCATGTGCTTTAGGTCTCCCCCGCCGGCAGATTCAGGTAAGTGACTGAAGGGGTTTTAAGCCCTTTAGCGATCTCGGATGGGGGGCACTCCAGGATTCTCTTGTGCCAGGAAAATCACTAGAGAATCCTGTTATATATTCCTATATATATTATTTTACACGGTATTATACTGATCATATCTGACTATATATATATATATATATATATATATATATATATATATATATATATATATATATATATATATTCTCTATCTATCTCTACACAGACTGACTGCTCCATAGATATTTGGTCCAGGCGACATATTCCTCTTCTCCTTGTGTACATATGTTTTTGTTTTTTTTTAATATATTTTAGGGCAATCCTCTAATAAAAGTTTCAAGTTTTAATATACCAATAATAATTTCACTTCCCTGTATCCTGCATCAAATACACTCCACTTTCTTCTTTTCTTAGTTAATTCCAATTTTCAGGGTTACCGCCTTGTAGGAGTGTTTTTGGTATTTCCAATTCTCTGGGTTACCCCCTTGTAGGAGTGTTTTTGGTATTTCCAATTCTCTGGGTTACCCCCTTGTATGAGTGTTTTTGGTATTTCCAATTCTCTGGGTTACCCCCTTGTAGGAGTGTTTTTGGTATTTCCAATTTTCTGGGTTACCCCCTTGTAGGAGTGTTTTTGGTATTTCCAATTCTCTGGGTTACCCCCTTGTAGGAGTGTTTTTGGTATTTCCAATTCTCTGGGTTACCCCCTTGTAGGAGTGTTTTTGGTATTTCCAATTTTCTGGGTTACCCCCTTGTAGGAGTGTTTTTGGTATTTCCAATTTTCAGGGTTACCCCCTTGTAGGAGTGTTTTTGGTATTTCCAATTTTCAGGGTTACCCCCTTGTAGGAGTGTTTTTGGTATTTCCAATTTTCAGGGTTACCCCCTTGTAGGAGTGTTTTTGGTATTTCCAATTTTCAGGGTTACCCCCTTGTAGGAGTGTTTTTGGTATTTCCAATTTTCAGGGTTACCCCCTTGTAGGAGTGTTTTTGGTATTTCCAATTTTCAGGGTTACCCCCTTGTAGGAGTGTTTTTGGTATTTCCAATTTTCAGGGTTACCCCCTTGTAGGAGTGTTTTTGGTATTTCCAATTTTCAGGGTTACCCCCTTGTAGGAGTGTTTTTGGTATTTCCAATTCTCAGGGTTACCCCCTTGCAGGAGTGTTTTTGGTATTTCCAGTTAATTCCAATTTTCAGGGTTACCCCCTTGTAGGAGTGTTTTTGTTATACCAAGCTCATCTCTTTTCCTTTTTTGTGAAACCATTCTGTTTTCATGCATGCTGTGTCACAGGCAGCCAGATGAGGTGTGGCTAGGGCTGCATAAACAGAATCGGAAAAGTGACCTCAGCAGGATGCTCATTTCTGATACAGCTTTATCACTGAAGGTGACAAATAATAAATTGGACAGGGTATATCTAGATTATCACCAGTACGGTGATACTTTACATTTTTCTTTAAAGATTATTGCATCACAGGTCTATTTAGGCAGTTCTCATTTTAAACAAGTCCGTGGCAGACGGGTTAGATATGTTGGGTTTTGATATTTACGACTTTGGGTGGAACAGTCTTTTTTTTTTCTTGTTCTCACTAAATACTATTTTTCCTTTTCTGATGAATAACCGTGACATGTTCCCAGCACTGAGCTCTTTTTCCGGTAAACAGAAAGGGACTTCATTGTATATTGTTTAAAGATTTAATATTGATAGACTCATCCTTGGCACATTTTGCACGACTCTTTAATATTACCTTGGCCAATTTGACCCCCTTGTAGTCTCTTTGAAAACATCAATACCTCGGCTGCTAGGTTTTCCAGATGAATCACGTTTTATTGCCCATAGTTACGGCTGCCTGAAAGAAAGACCTGACTCGAGATGTTTGAAATGAATGTCAGTAGACAATAGCCCGTTTCCCAGCCCATGCTGTCACACCATTATCTGTTGACATCAGCTCCACAAGGAACTGTTCTTGATCCTTGTGTTTGTCTTTAAAAAATACAAGCTTCTCAAATTACTAGAAAATTCATAGGGAACTGTAACAGTAGCGGCGAGGAAATGGGACAGTTATGTGTTACACCGGATACCAATTTAATGTTGGAGACACACGTCTGGCCATTGTGGCAAGGATGGTTTAAGGATGATGTAGAAACCACAAAATCAGTTTTAAAATAAATTATAAAGTTGTAATGTTTGCTAGATCCACCATCCTATCATAGGCACAAATCCTTTCTTCTCAGTGATGTGCAGGCATGAAAAGTGCTGCCCTTGAGAACATAGAATTCAGATGTTATAGAAAGGTAATCAAACAATTCATCCAGGCATAGGCAACCTTTGGCACTCCAGATGTTTTGGACTACACCTTCCATGATGCCTTACCAGCATTATGGGTGTAAGAGCATTATAGGGGATGTAGTCCACAACATCTGGAGTGCCGAAGGTTGCCTATCCCTGATTCTAGGCTGTTCCTTTTGGACTCCCTTTTGGTGTGATTAATTGTCTATTGTAGCATATAATGTGATCCTCATCATTTTGTTATGGCCTTTAGACTGAATTATATACAAAATTATCTTTGTTTATTTTCATTGTAGCTGTGTACTGTATGTGCCAGAGCAGAGTATGTCCTTATGCCTGTTATTTACCTTTATGTACTTCCTTCCTTATAAAACTTAAATTTCATACCTCGCAACATTTCAAATAGACAAAGAGGGACACTTTAACTTTAGAGGTGTGAGTGGGGGTGTGGCTGTTTTCTGTTATTTTAGGTGACTAATAACATTTAATAAGTCATGCAACTAAAATTATAATTAAGACATAAATGTATCATTTATTCAGACTGATTTCTAAACACATTTATTGTAGTTTACAGGCACATTACTGGGAGTATTATTGCTGTGGAGCTCTGTTATACAGACACGCCAACAATATCCCTCTAGAAAGGAGGGATATTAGGATAGAAAAGAGGGACAGAGGAATTTGATCCCAAAATAGGGACTGTTCATCCTAAATCAGGACACTTGGGAGGTATGGGATTCTGCAAATGTATATAACCATTCATACAGTGCAGTCCACCAGTGTTTTCATAACTGTAAATACTAAATGGTTCATGGATTAAAGCTCAAAGTCAGTACTTTATCATCTTAGTCCAAGGCTGTCGAAAGGCATCCCTTTGATGTTAGTGGATAACAACTCCCATAATTCTCTGCCAAGCTCTGGCAGAATTATTGGTATTGGATGAGAAAATCCAGGGGGGGAGGAGTGGGGTGGGCACAGGTGATTTCTCTGTGCAAGTATATTTTTTGCAATTTTTAGGACAAATGTGCCAGAATTACAAGGTCTGCCTTGTTTTCCTGGACACCGTCTCATTTATTCATGGTGATTACTAGCACATTTAAAGTGCTGGCTACTGTATATATAATTCATATGCTACTAGAGAGAAATTGCATCAAGAAGCTGCCTTGCTTAACTGAAACTTTTTTTTTTGTTTGTTTTTTGAATTTTGTAAAAAAAAAAATTTACAGCATATGTACACCAGGTTTTGCAGGGCAGCCATTTTCATGCTCTGCCCATCGGCTTGATCAAGTGGGGTGTGTCGAAAAAAACACTGTGGCTCTGAGATTCTTTGCTGCATTCTGAAAACATGATAAAAGCGTGTATCTGTCAACCATTGTACAGCGCTACAGAATCTGATGGCGTTATATAAATAATAAAATAATAATAACCAGCAGTGTATGCTTTCTTTCAGTCACTATGGTGGGCTTGTATGTGACCTAATTTTTGTTTTGTTTACCGCAGGGTAAAGCGATCGCACAGACTGGACGCAGCAAACTACAAAATCAAAGGGCTGGCCTAAACAATCAGATCCTAAAGGCGATGCGAATGAGAGCTGGAGCAGAGAACCTTCTACGGTACGTTCCCACCGGTTCAGTTCACTCCTGTGGAAAGATAGAAAATGCAGCCTTTGTTGTTCACGGCTTTAGTGATCTCCGGTTCCCAGAGCATATTCCCAACAGATGCTGCCTAATGAACACAGCACTTTGATTGTAGCAACAGTTCATTCCTGGGTGACCCCCTCCCTGCCATCAACACATTGTATAATGGTGACAAGTAGCTCGCAGTTTGGAAAAATTAGAACCTCTTAGTAAAGGAGCAGACAGAATTGGTTTAACCTTGTGCCGCATGGCATGGCTGTCTTGGTGGAAAATATTTCTTGCAGACTTTATCTAGAAGGGACTGATTTGAATTTAGAGTTTTCCAGAGCCACGTTTGTTTTTCCTGGAAACTTATCACTTCTCCATGTTGCAGGGCAGATCATAAAAGTGTCTGCCTGCAACATGTTAAAATTCAAATGCATTAATGAAGAAATGATTCTGCAGCACATGAATGCTATATACTGCTGGTCAGGAAAACACAGCCGTGCCTGGGTGATTAACTAAGATGTGAAGTGTTGGGGATTCATGGTGATTTGCAAATTGTAGGCCACAGTAGCGGAGCTGAATTGAAAACAAAGCAAAAAATTCTCCATTTTGGGTGTTTTAACCATTCCACAACAATGCGTAGAATTGTCAGGTCTGTCTTTATTTCTGGATGCGTGTCTCCTTCTCGTTGATGGGCAGTGCGTGAAAAGTACTGATCTGCCACAAGTGGGATTCATACACCGTCAGAGAAAGTCAGTTAAGCAGGGTATATCCTTCTTGATTGACTCGTCCTGCAATATATGAATTCTACATGTAGCACTTTTCATTTCTTGCCCATCACTATGAATAAGAGATATAATGATCAGTGGAACATGGCATGTCCGACAACTCCTAGCCACCGTGAGTCTTGACTCGCATGTTTGTAGGAACCGTAATGACTGTAAGTTTTGTAGATTCCTAACTGGGGGAAATGGAGTGGAATAGATCATTTAGTTCTGTCCCAGATAGCATCCTTTTATTCCGTGTGTATATGAGAGAGATTCACTCGTCTGTACGTGAAAAAGAGCTCTGTCAATATGGCATCTTGGCAAAGCTCCATTGATTTGTTTATTTCCTGACCCCTATGCCCAGTTGGCAGCCTGCCCTTCCTTGTAATCTGTGAATGTCTGTTTATTACCTTAATAACAGGCATAAAAACTAATAATAGGCTTTATATGTTCAGGGTATTATTATTCTTAATATAAAATCTCCCCGATGTGAAATGGAACGAGGTTTTGTTTCCCAGGCCATGTTATCCTGCCAGGGGGCCTGGAAGGTCCCTCGCTAAAGAAACTCCTAATGACTGCTTTTCCCTATACCAGCTTTTCTCTCACCCTCTCCTTTCTTCTCCCTCCTTTATCTGTCTGTTATTCTGCTCCTTAACTTTCGCTTTCTCTTTGCTCTGCAATTTTTGTTTCTCCCCGTGTCTCACACTTTCACCCCATTGTGTTCTGCTGGGTTTTTTTTTGCCTCTTCCTTATTCCTTTTCCGTCTATTTTTCATTTATTTTTATCTGTTCCCATCTCTCCTTTCTGCAGTCCCCCTTTCCCCCCCTCACAGTCCCTCCTTTATTCTGCTTTCCCCATTCCTCATCTATTTTCCTCCTCTCTTCCACCATCTCTTCACTTTTCCCCCCTCTCCATCCCACTTTCTGCCCCACCTTCTCTCTCTTCCCTCCCTTACCCCAATCTGTCTTCCCTCCATTCTTTCCATTTTTGCTCACCTCTGTCCCCTTTTCAGTTTATAGAAATCAGATATTGAATAAAAGCCTTGTAGCTATGATATTTGTGCTATCATTTATTAATATTTCAGTAGATGCGTTGGCGAGAATTTATTATATTTTTTTTACACTCGAAGTCTCTGCACAAACATGTTTCAACGCTTGCAGCCCAATACACAGGAAGTCATGAGGAAGTCTGTAATGTTCTCACAAATTGTAACGAGTGTCTCCTGTTTACAGTACTCACGGCTAGTCATGGCGATGTATCTGGGAAACCGCACTACCCTTAATTTATAAATATTATGTCCCATGTGAATTTAAAGGTGTGGAAGATGTATCTGTCTGAGAAAACAAAGTGTGTCTGGAAACCCTACTAATACCCAAATCAGGTGCTGTCTGTATGAATAACAATATTAAGTTACTGACTTAAAATGTAAATGTATATTTTTGTAGTACTATGGGCGCATATCTGTGCTCCCACAATGGCTAGAGCATCATATCTCACTATTACACATCATTTAAAGGGACACTATAGTCACCAAAACAACTTTACCTTAATTAGGCAGTTATGGTGTATATATCCCGTATCTGAAGTTACATTAATCAGTTCTCTACCATTTAGGAGTTAAATAACTTTTGTTTCTATTTATGCAGCCTTAGCCGAACCTCCACTGGCTGTGACTGACACAACCTACATGAAAACAAAACGGTTTTATTTTCAATCAGATGTAACTTACTTTAAAAGTTTTTATGTTCTGCTCTGTAAATTGAACTTTAATAGCATGCAGGAGGCACCTGCAAGCTATTCACAGAACAGGAGAAAAGAAATTCTAGATGGAACAGAATTTGCAACAAAGAAAATATAAACTCTTTACAGGACGCGTTTAGGAAGGCTGTGTAAGTCACATGCAGGGAGGTGTGACTAGAAGTACATAAACAAAGTGATTTAACTCTTAAATGGCAGAGAATTGAGCAGTGCAGGGGCATGATCTATACACCAAAACTGCTTCCTTAACCCCTTAAGGACCAAGCTTCTGGAATAAAAGGGAATCATGACGTGTCACACATGTCATGTGTCCTTAAGGGATTAAGGACACATGACATGTCTGACATGTCATGATTCCCTTTTATTCCAGAAGTTTGGTCCTTAAGGGGTTAAGGTTCGCAGACGTACTAGGTACATCCGACTAATACAGTCCCTAAGGACCGTGGACGTACCTAGTACATCAGTGGTATTCTTAGTACTTACCCAATCGTAGCCGTTCCCCCGCCGGCGATCGGTGTTGCCCCCGGTCTGGGGGGACTGCCTGACAGCCCAGACAGTCCCACTCGGCAAATTAATCCCCCGCAGGACATGTGACCACAGTGGTTACATGGCTGCAATAAGAGTCCATAGTGCTGCCTGCAGGGGGACTGCCTGAACTGACAGGCAGTCTCCCTGCTTCTGTTAAATAAGATATATAAATAGGTTAATAAATTAAAATATACTCATATATATATATATATATATATATATATATATATATATATATATATATATATATATATATATATATATATATATATATATATATATATATGTGTGTGTGTGTGTATATGTATATATATATATATATATGTGTGTGTGTGTATATGTATATATAATATTTAAAAAATTAACTTAGAGTAAAATTATACACCTATGTATATATTATAATATAGTGTGTGTGTGTGTATATGTATGTGTATATATATATATATATATATATATATATATATATATATATATATATATATATAATAAAAAAATCAATTAAAAATAAATAAAATCTATATATAATTTTATTCTAACTGTATTTTGATATATATATATATATATATATATATATATATATATATATATATATATATATATACTTAGAATTAAATGTTATATATCTATGTATATATAAATAAATACAAATAATATGAAATATATATATATCCATATACATAATGACATAAATAATTTTGTAAATATACACGTAGACTTCAAATATATTAATATGTATATATATTTAAATTCAACGTGCATATTTATGTAATATTTTTACATAATTAAGTAATTTTATTGAGTGAATTTTATTTGAGACCTGTCTGACAACCCAGGCTGAAAGTCCAGAGAATTGAATTTGCTAGCACTATATTTAACCCTGTAACTTTCCATGACACCCTAAAACCTGTACATGGGGGGTACTGCTTTGCTCAGGAGACTTCGTTGAACACAAATATTAGTGTTTCAAAACAGTAGAACATATCACAGCAATGATATTGTCAGTGAAAGTGACTTTTTTTTGCATTTTTTCACTCACACACAGCACTCTCACTGATATCATTGTTGTGATTCGTTTGACTGTTTTGGAAAACTAATATTTGTGTTCAGCAAAGTCTCCCGAGTATAACAGTACCTCCATGTACAGGTTTTATAGTGGTTTTTGAAAGTTACAGGGTCAAATATAAGGCTTGATTTTCTGTTTTTTGATATTGAAATTTGCCGAATTGGTTATGTTGCCTTTGAGAGCGTATGGTAGCCCAGGAATGGGAATTACCCCCATGATGTCATACCATTTGCAAAAGCAGACAACCAAGGGTATTCAATATGGGGTACGTTCAGTCTTTTTTAGTAGTCACTTAGTCACAAATACTGCCCAAAGTTAGCGTTCATAATTGTTTTATGCATTTTTTACAAACACATAAATACTAACTTTGGCTAGTGTTTGGACTAAGTGGCTACAAAAAAGACTGGACATACCCCATATAGAATACCCTGGGTTGTCTGCTTTAAAAAAATATGTACATGTAAGATGTGATTCAGAGATTTATGACAGATAACAGTGTTACTATGTCACTATTGATACATTTCAAAATATATATATATATATATTTTGAAACCGCAATGTCCTACTTGTACTTATAGCCCTATAACTTGCACACAACAAAAGCTAAGGCAATGTTAACATTGGGTATTTCTAAACCCAGGACAAAATTTAGAAACTATTTAGCATGGGTGTTTTTTGGCGGTTGTAGATCCGTAACAGATTTTGGGGGTCAAAGTTTCAAATCTTTTTATCATATTTATATTTATTTTTTTATACTAAATTATATGATATGACGAAAATAATGGTATCTTTAGAAAGACCATTTAATAGCGAGAAAAACTGTATATAATATGTGTGGGTACAGTAAATGAGTAAGAGGGAAACTACAGCTAAACACAAACACAGCAGAAATGTAAAAACAGCCCTGGTCGTTAACGGTAAGAAAATTGGAAAACGGTCTGGTCACTAGGGTGTTAAACAAAAAAGTTTTTGGGGTGACTATAGTGTCCCCTTAAAGCTGCACCTGGCATTGTGGAAGCACACAGATGTTCTAGTTGGCAATGTCAGAAATGCAGCTCAATATTAAAGGGACACTATTTGCCCCATAACCACTGCATGTAATTTTGCAAACCATGTGAGAGCAATTTGACAAAAATGTCCCTAACCTACCCCAAACACTCCCTGATTATCACTGCCCTCTGTGTTGTGTGGAATCGATATTGTTAATGCACAGTTGTAAATTCTGCATTATCAGTGCAATTGTGGAAAGGGCGGTCTGTGGGTGTCAAGAAAGAACTCCGGTTTTTCTGCAAACATTTTGACGACTAACGTGGGACATCGGCCACAAATTCTTTGCACCATATCCACTGCACTGAGAGTTAGTGGGCATAGAGGGTTCCTTTATTTAAAGTTTTGCAGAAACAATGAAAGGACCATTGCACATTATGTCTGATCCAGCTGACTCAGATAAGTCATTTAAAAAATGTCCTTGATATTCTCATTTTTGCACAAGATCCGATCAATGCAAACAAGAAACATTTCAAAAATTCTGAATTTGTGTAAAATACACCTTGTAGCAAACATCAGACTGTACCATAAAATGAACAATGTCTCTTTTCTTTGCTTCATCCCCAGGGCGACGACAAACAATAGAGTTCGAGAACAGGTTCTGCTGGAGCTCAGTTTTGTGAATTCAAACCTTCAGCTTCTGAAGGAGGAGCTGGAAGGACTCAACATATCAGTGGAAGTCTATCAACACAATGAGTAAGCCAGCAATAAAGTCATATGGCAGTGTTCTTATAGAGATAAGATAAGATTGAGACATAGTTGAAATATTTTATTACTTAAAACTTAAAAAAAAACAAGATTGACCTTAAATCTGACCTTGTACACCTTTGTCTTAAAAGCGAACCTGTGTTCAACAAAAAAATCAAAAAACTCTTTCTCTCTACATGATATATTCACTCACCTTACCTCTGATCCAATGCCGCCATGTCCTCAGCCTTTTGGTGTTACTATTCTGTAACACCCACCACTGCTCCACCGGGTCTATTCTTCGATTTGTCTACCTGGCTTCATTGCCAGCATATCGGCGTCTGGACGTTCCTATACTCCTTACTTCAGCGCTAGCAGCATCGGCTAGGAAGTTACCATAGCAAACACTGCGCATGCGCTGTGAGTTGCTATGTGTGGCGAGCAGAAGCACCACCAGTGGGAGAGATCTCTTTTGCTCTCCCAATTCTTCGGCATAGACTCTCTGCTGGAGAATTGACTGACAAATGCAAGATATATTTTTCAATGGGATTTTCTCCCAATCTACACATTTGCTGGAAAACCTGCTAACACAATGTATAGATGAAATGGGATGTTCTTTTTTTAAAAAAAAAATAATATAAGTTGTGGGTGCCCTTTAAAGATTATTTTTAATTTGCTATTTTCTTTTACAAATAGCTACATAGAAAAAAAATCTGCAAACTAAATAAAAAACGCAAAATAAATTAAATGCGTTTTAGACAAAAATATCTTGAAACATGTCAGTGGAATGTAGTAAAACATATAATTAAATATTGTATCGGTTACAAATGTCCACCTTGATTTCCCTCTCTCTCTGCTGGGAGCTTATTTCCCAGAATGCACCTGGCACCCTTTTTTTCTGCTATTTCGTTTTACCTTATTTTGTCAGTGCAAGTTTCATAGCAACATACATGTTTTCTTTAAAATACAATATCTGGTATTGTTTTGAACCATTTAACAATGTCAACACTGCATTTTTTGTCTCGATTCAAATAATGTTAAATATTTGTGATGACAGGTGCCTCTGGCTCTGAATGTGTTAACAGGGATAGGTACGGTTTCATTCCAACCCTGCCTTTGTTTACCATAGAAGCCTATCTCCTGCTGCAGATAACAGTGCTTAAGTCAGCATTGCTTGGCTATTTTGAGGTGGCCTGGTCTTCTTCTTAGCAGAATTAATGCCTGACACCTGATAGTGATCACCGTATCTGCCTGGAGGGTGTTCTGTCTTTGCCTTACTGGCTGACCATTGACCTTCAAGTAGTTTTACCGATTGTCAAAGCATATACTAAATACAATATTTTATTATATCGCGCTATCTCTTGCTGAAGGCTTACCATTTCCATCAGTTCTTAGTTTTTATCTCATTTGGGCCATTGCTTATACTCACTGGAGATGGAGAAACGGACACATTTTGTCCGTCAAATGTAAGAGAACATCAGTCTTCGCTGTTCTATAGGGCTGTCATTATGGCCAAAGTTATATGTATCTGGCTGCTCTGCCTTTCCATTCCCCTGGAATCTCCTAATTACAAAGATAATTTGTCATCTGGTGTGTCGAAGAGCACTCGGTAGCATTTGACCTTAGGGCCTTTGAAAATATGAACCTATAGGGTGGTCCACCATGGAGGTTATGTTCTGCAAGTCTCTACGTGTCTTACAATAAAGGTTTTAAAGAACGAGCTTCTATTACACAAACAAGGAAATGGTCATTTTTATGCCTCTGGTAAGAATGTCAAGTTCCTCGGCAAAGCCATTATTAATCTTGTTGAGTAAAATATGCATCCTCTATCCCCACAAAACAATGAAGATTTATTTTTGTGCAAAATTGTTTATCACCGTTACTATATCCAAAGTATATTTTTTTGCGATGGGGTATAGCCTGCCTTTTGGATCTGACTGAGGGCATATGATGAGAGATCTAGGAGGTCAGTAAGAAATGATAGAATGGAAAAACACACAACTTTAAGTAAAAGTCATGTGCGACAGAAGAGTGCTTTTAAATGAAGCACAACTAGCTGTTGCTTGTGTTAGTCTGAAAAGGCACAGACTGGGCATGTTGTACAAAATAACTTCCTTTCCCATGATTCTCTCATTCTCAAGATTACAAAGCTACCCAATAATCATAGGTTAATTTAAACTCATAATCAGGACAGTGGTAACAAAAAATACCAGACCTTCAAATGGCTGGGCTTACAGCACTTTCTAAATTGTGTTTACATAACACACCTGTATGACATGTTAGTGTAGTAAGGGACAAGCCGAAGTCTACGGTCTGGATAGTCACACATATAAAGAAACAAGTCAGAAAAATAGATACCAGAAAACAGAATAATCAAAATAAGGCAGGTCAGTACCAAATGGACACAAATTAATGAGAGCAAAAGAACCAAGAGAGTTCTGTTCATATGGTGAGTTTATATAAGGATACTCTGAAATGTCACGTTTTGCTTAGAAACTGACCAAGAGTGGAATAGGTGCTGGGAAACTTGTGCACTGACATCATATCGATAGGAATAATAAGATAATTAGCAAAACCTGCCTTGCCTTTTCAGAAGACCGTTGTTATGTCAGAATCTAGTAATCAAGTTCTTTAATCAAAGCCAAACCCTGGCTCACCCAAAAACATAGGAAATGTAGTCAAAGAACGGAGGACAACGTTGGAGAGCCCTGTAGCCAAAACGCAAACTACAGAATATGAACTTCCCTTTATATTGGGTCATATAGTAGATGTTAACGTACAGTGATAAGTGGTGATAAATAGAAAATAGCATTTATATTGTGCTAATTTTTTACATATTAACAACCATACAGACCACATATTGCTTCTTAATTTATTTATTCTTCCATATAGATGGATTTTCATGCTAATGACAGGGTCATACATCTAAGCAGAACTTTTTTTTAAATATCAGAATACAGGGATGCTCAAAGAAACCAATCCATTAAAGGTGCTTTAAAGACGGTTCATTCTGCTTTAAACCTCTCAATATTAAACAAGTGAAACCAGAGTTGTTAGGAATTCATAGTGAAATTCTAATTAATGCCAAATTAGCCGAACTGAAAACATGGCTTCTCACTCATCTTTTTCAAATCGGCTATTGTGGCCTGAAATGTAAAACTTTGCTTGAATTCTCATAGAAACCCTGACTGATCACTCGTCAGTGAATAATTTTGTTAGGTTATTTCCCATTTTCGTAAAAGGTGTGCATAATTACAACTGATTGCACATTTATGCCAAATAATCCGTGCATGACTTGCTAATTGACGTTTAGGGAAACACCCAATTTGTATCAGTGATGTATGTAGTTTGATCATGATCTTATTTTACGATTAGCTTTCCACTGATACTGCTGATTCACCCCCTTTATATTAAACTAAAACCAGGGGGATTATTTTTACTCCTCATGACATTTAGTTAGGTGAGCCTGGTGATCTGCAGGTTTGGGGTATCTCAGAGTAGTGGTAATGATTCAGTCATAAAAGGATTAGATTTACCAAGGTGTGATTCAGTTCTCAGCATTCTAAACAGTAACACGGGGTTCTCTTCCTGTACAGAAACGATCAGTGTATGTAATAGAATACAAATAATTGAAAATAACTAGAGCAGTTGGTTAGCTCATGTTTCCCAGGTGTCATTGACTTAAAACTCCCATAATTTCTTTATAGTGATATCGCGTATGAGTAGTTTGACACCCCAAAGTTTTTGACTTGTCATTGTATTGAGAAAAAATAAATGATAAAAAAACGAAGAGGAAAAACCTAATTTTAATGTAAAATGTTGTGTTATATCGCTGATCTTTGTGGATTTTTAGTGTACTTATTTTTACGGCTCTGTAGCAGAGGGTTCTGGGAGTTTAAATATGGCAACAAGCTGTAACATGGCATAAGTGTATTTCACCTGTAGCAACTGAGACATAAAACACTGTGACCATTGTGCGTGGGCCCTGTCTCTATTCTAGTTCATGTAAATACATTGTGTTCGTTGAAACAGAATACATGTGCTATAGGAACCAGACTCATGTATTTACAGTGAAGCATTTTTTTTCTTTTTTTCTTTCAGACAAAACTCCAACATTCCTCTTATACCTCTAGGGCTTAAGGAGACAAAAGACGTGGATTTCACAACCGCATTTAAGGTAATATTAGGAAATCTGCCATTTCATACTCTAATCTTTGTGCCGTGTACATTGTAATACAGGGCCTATGTACCGCTGGCATGTCACACAACATTCAGCACAGAATTCTTTTTATTATTACACTGCCAACAGCTGTGGGAATATTTTATAAAAAGAGTCTCTAACAGACAATTGGTTCTAAAAATAAAGCAATCACTATTAAAATTAATTAAATAAGCTGCGGTGTTCTCATGGTTTCCATGGTGATTGCTCAATTGTTAGTGTTACCGCACTCTTCTATGCTTCTTGAAATTCGGTATTCTATAATCCAGGGGTGCCCAATAGGTAGATCCTCAGATGTTTTAAAACTACAGCTTCCACAATGCTTTGTGATTTTTAAAGACAATCTAAATGCATGTTGAAACATCATGGGAGTTGTAGTTCTACAACATCTGGGATCTACTTTTTAGGCCCCCCCAGCTCTAATACATTGTATACATTGATTGCATAAATTATAGATCTTTAACCCCTTAAGGACCAAACTTCTGGAATAAAAGGGAATCATGACATGTCACACATGTCATGTGTCCTTAAGAGGTTAAACTCAATGCTTTTGCTTTATATACACGGAGAATGTAGCCATTATAGATCTATATATCATAGATCATACATCTATACTTAGATGACTTGTCTTTTTTATAGCATGCTAAGGGTTACAAGTTATGATATATCACCAAACTAACCTATATATAAAAATGAACGGTTTCTCCTGTTTAGACCAAAAGGATCTAATTTTGGTGTCTATGTGTGTCTTGACTGCATTTTGTTTTAAGACTGCCACCATATAAACAGTTCTATTATGTCTAGTCGTTAACCCATTGTTTTGCTGTCCACTGCCCATCACAATAGGGCTCAAAGAGTTAAGATGTTTGTAAGCACGGCAGCAGATTGTCGCATTGGATGCTGCGTACAGTTTTTATCTTGTTTACAATGTTACCAAAACACAAATGCACCTCGTACCTTGTAAAGAACACTTTTAATGTTTCTAGTAAAACATCCTGTGGAATGTCTTGCTATAAAAGCTTATGTGTTACTTAATGAGAAGACTTAGTTTAGACCCAAAAACGAGGCACACTCAGAAGACAGAGGTCAGGGGAGCTATTCGTAGATGTGATTTAATTGTCTATTGGCCAAGTGAAACTACTCGTGCGTCAGGAACGAATTTGCGTAGTACAGTTGTAATAAGCTCTTATGCCAAGTTCAGTATCAAACTTTGAGTCACTCTTAGTCACACCTCTCTGCTAAAGGAAGTGGTGTGGCGTCCCTAACATTATCTTAAAGGAGCATGCTGTGTATCCACCCATTAACTGCAGAATATATTAACGGTGATTAATCTTTGAAATATTTAGGATTCACAATCAGAGCTATTTATACTGATAAACCTTGAACACATGACCTATAAATAGAATATTTTATTGTCCAAATACGCAATGTAGTGTTTTACGATGCACAGCTCCTTATTTCGACACTGTGATAAACTTCTGGAAGATTTACAAGTACCAGCTCTGAAATAACAGATGGCAATAAAGTGGCTATAGTGGTTAATTATTAATGTAACAGAAATCCTTTGCATGAGAGATGGCTTGTAAGCAATGTGACAATTGTGGTGGTAATAAGGATGGTGTCGCAAGAAATTAGTCAGGACAAATGCGGTTTTATTTTGATTAACAAGGATGGTAAAAAGTCAGTCATCTGAATGATTACTGGGTTACAAAGTGTACTAATTAGCAGTCTTATGGCAGGAAATTTGCTGGGATTTGTTATTAGGATGGAATGCCAATCTCCTCTTCGGGTCCCTTATGTTTCTTCTCCCAAAGGTTTATCAAGAATTTCGATACGCTAAGCACAAATCCATTCTCCCCCCTCCTTCATGTAATATTTCTCCTCTCTTATACTTAAATATATATTCACTTAAAGGAACACTATAGGCACCAGATCAAGTTCATCAATATTAAGTTGTTATGGTGTGAGGATGTCCCCCGGCACCTCAATTTAAGAGTTAACTTATTTATTAATACAAAATACAGAAATTATTTTCCCATGTGTTAAACTTGTTGAGTGTCACAATTGCTAACATCCAGACACTACTACACACAAACTGATGTTCCCCTATTTAGGAGGGACTGTCCCGATTTTGGGACCAAATCCATCTGTACCTCTCCCTCTATGATGTTGGTGTGTCTGAGCGTCTAACAGAGCTCCACAGAAATAATACTCCCAGTAATGTGTCTTTAAACTACAATAAAAGTGTCTGTTTAAGATTCATTGTTCTTGTTCTAAATTTACATTTTAATTTTATAGATTATTTTTAATAAGTAATCTAAAATTTCTCAGATCAGCCTACCTTGCCATATCCCCAGTCATACCCCTAAAATAAAATTGCCTCTCATGATGTATTACTTTACAGAAAGGGTAGTGGATGCATGGAATAGCCCTCCAGCTGAAGTGGTAGAGGTTAACACAGGGAGGGAGTTTTAGCAAGCGTGGGATAGGCATAAGGCTATCCTAACTATAAGATAAGGCTAGGGACTAATAAAAGTATTTAGAAAATTGGCCAGACTAGATGGGCCGAATGGTTCTTATCTACCATCACGTTCTATGTTTCTATGTTTCTCTCTGTCTATTCAAAATATTGAGTTGTAGGCAATTCTCACATGCCACTGACACTGAGAGTTAATAGCTGGAGGGATAAGAGACAAGTAGATCATACTACATTCAAAGAATGCATATTACTTCTGTTTAAAAACAATACAGAAATCAGCTATTTCTCGCTTATCTTGAACAGGAAATAACATTGCAAGGATTGTTCTCAAAGCTTAATGACTCATTTACATTAACTAATTGTTCTGTTAATTGATAAACTATCCTGATTAGATATGAGTTTATGAGATTGGAAGTGCTTTGCTAATCATTGTCCTGTTTACAAACAGCAAGGACTGTGTGTTATAAAATCTATCCGAATAATCTTTCACTATTACAAGGATTTATTGGTTTCATTGACATTCTACTTAATACAATGGACTCAAACAATCCCTTTTAATCCTTTTACAGTCAGTGGTGTGCTCAACGCATTTAAAAGTACACATTTGGCATACAATTGGTTCAACCTCTATTTTGGGTTAATGAACGGATGGGGGTCCATTCAATGACACTAATAAAGATCGTATCCTTAATGATGTTAGCAAAGTATGCTATATGAAACCATTAGCACCCATGAGGTTTATTTAGATGTCAAAAAGAAAATGTATTGAACTGAAAATCAAATTGCAAAATCTAGACTAAACTAACCAATCTGTGAAAATTTGGGAGAAAACTGTGAGATTTTTTTTTTAAAATAAGCTCTTTGCTAACATTTTGCAGTTTTCTTTTCCCCTATGTGTTACATTGTAACATCTGTAAGCAAAACCGGTTTTATCGTACAATATATTTACAAATCACGCCGTGTTAATCACCCTCTGTATGTGTTTTTTTAGAGTGTTGCTAAGCACATTCCTTTTTTTTTTTATTTTTTTTTTTAAAGGATTTTATTCTGGAACATTACAGTGAAGACGGATCTGATTATGAGAATGAGTTAGCGGACCTTATGGATCTCAGACAGGTAGTGACCATGTGTTTGTGAACTGTAAAGTCCGGGGCTAAAGTGCAATAAATCACTTTATGGGATTTGGTTGATTTTTAAGCCTGCATGATTGTGCCTTGAGTCTTATCTAAACAAGTGTTTAAAGGGACATTGTAGGCACTGTAACTGCATCATCTCATTTCCTCTGGTGCTGTCCATTTTGTTCTTTTTTTTTTTTCTAAATTCTATATTTAATATTTTTAGTTTCATAGAATGATAAATAGTACAGTCATATCCAGTTTACACGTGTATGCTGTTCGTTTACAAGCTAGTGAGTAAATATACCGCACAACATGGGTAACGCATAGATACAAGATACGATATACCATGGTAAGTTGTCAATTGGAAAATTAGTTACAGACAAAAGAGAAACAATTTTGAAAACAAAGTGAGAACTGCTTCACGTTCTCCTCATAATATAGCGCAATGGAGGTGTAAACTTATCAAACTTGTTGGGAATGTTGGAGTTTGAAATGGTTAATCAGTGTTTTTAATGGTTTCAAGCCCCATTCCTTCTGTGCTGCTTGAGTAATGAGAAAGTATTACCCTGAGCAGCAATGGGGGCGGCTGTGATTGGCTGAGATCACTTTCAGCCTATCACAGTCCCCATTGCTGGTATAAAATGGTATGGCTAGAAGGAAGGGTGTAACCTCTGCTTTAGCCACACCTCCTGTGCGGGCGGGACTGTGAGTGGCCAGGGATCCACTTTCAGAGTTAAACTGCTTGAAAACGGTTTAATATTGAAAGCAGGGACTCCACGCACTACAGCCAATTCAATTAGATGAAATGGTTATAATGCCCACAGTGTCCCTTTAAAGCGTCACTGTCACCGACAGTTAAATAATATATACATATACATAAAGGCATACAGCTGTGCTTCACGTGCATCTAGTAAACACAGACACCTTTAACAAAGAGCAGTACATTATACACACTCATGCTGTAGGCCAGTAATGGCTAACTTTAGCATCCCTGAAGGCTTCCTGAGCATCATGGGAAATTCAGATCATAGGCAGAGGTGGACGCATAGCGTGATGTGTGTAGAATTTGCAGTTTTCCAAGTAATTATTGTGCTGGTTATATTTATTCTGATGAATATCAAAGCTGTTTTGATCACGCCTGCAGCTCTAGATTTGTTATCTTCACATTTTCGTTAGAAATATTGATGTGAGTTTTTGCAATCCGATCTTATGATCTATTTACATAAACATGCCCTGCTATATGTATTTTACCTGCCGGCTGAAAAGCGTATCAAAGGAAGAATAATCCGAGTTCGTTACCAGAGCATTAAACCGAAATGTATTGCTTGCGTTTCCAAAATATGCCATATTTCTTAGATTTGGAATTCTGTAACCTTTGTATCCCATGATGAGATCATGCTAGCTTAACGATCATTGCTTAAAATGGTCTTTGAACCCAGCAATGTGTCCAAGTCAAAGTGTGAAATACATTAAGCATAAAGAAACAAACAATCTGCTCATTTTTAATGCTGTCAGTGCCTGTAACAGTTAGACAAGTCAGCTGCTGTTTGTAGTGTTGCCGGCAGACTGTCTTACAGATTGGACAATGAAGTTTGGACCTCACAGACCTCATTAAAATGTTATAGATCATTATGTGGCGAGTGCAAATTTAGTCCTAGAGTAGAAATTAACCCCGTGGTAGTATGCAATGGATTGTAGTGGTGAGCAAATTTTTAAGTGTGTGTCAGTAGATTGGATTTGAAAATGTCTTCTTTATATGTTATTACACGATAAGTCGATGTGTAGTAGAGGCATCTTCACGTTTGTTGTTTTTCTATCCTCCTAGGCATGTCGGACCCCTACCCGAGATGATGCTGGTGTTGATCTACTTGTGGGTTACTTCCAGCAGCTCGGATTTATTGAGAACCGATTTTTCCCACCATCACGGAATATGGGAGTAATATTCACATGGTAAGCATTGGTAACACATTTTCTTAGCTAATGATATATTTTGCATAGTTATACTGGTTTAATGATACGTATGCCAAATATCAGAGTATCGCAGTATCTTATAATACCTTTTATTATCGGATTAACAGAATGTTCCTTGGGGTCCACGCCGAGAAGCTGGCTGTGCCAGAAAATTTCTGTTAGCCTAAATAAAATAACATTAGAAATTGTATTTTCATAGGAAAATAAAACATGGGCAAAATCCAGGTAACAGGTTAATAGTATCTAGATTTGAGGATGTACTTGAAAACAAATGAAAGGTAAATATGTCCTGCTTGGTTAAATATTTAGATATTATTCTTGTGCAGTACACTTCCTGGGCTGGAAACCATCTGGGTCCGATTTAAGTTTCCTATTGCTTTGGTTTTGGAAGGAAGGATGAAAATTTATATTGGAAATATCTGCCATCCCCTGCAGATTTAGGAACTTCTAAATTAACAAATTTTAATTTAAAGGGACACTCCAGGCACCCAGACCACTTCTGCCCATTGGAGTGGTCTGGGTGCCAACTCCCACTATTCTTAACCCTGCAAGTGTAATTATTGCAGTTTCTTATAAACTGCAATAATTACCTTGCAGGGTTTTCTCCACCTCTAGTGGCTGTCTACTAGACATCCACTAGAGGGCACTTCCTGCTCTATAGCACAGAAAACCTGTGCTAGAGCGTCGCTGGACGTCCTCACGCTATGTCAGGACCTCCAGCGTTGCTCAATTTCCCATAGGAAAGCATTGAAAAGCATTTTCAATACTTTCCTATGGAGAGCTCTAATGCGTATGCACGGCTTTGCCGCGCATGCGCATTAGGTCTCCGCCGGCGGGTGGGATCAGTCTCGCCCACCGGCCGACATAATGAAGAGGAGGAGCGGCGGCAACCCGACACCACTGCCGAGGGACAGGGGCAGGGGTCTCAGGTAAGTGACTGAAGGGGTTTTCACCCCTTAAGCAACCGGGGATTGGGAGGTGGGAGGGAGAGGGGACCTGCAGTGCCTGGAAAACGGATTGTTTTCCTGGCACTGGAGAGTCCCTTTAAGGCTTTGCATGTTGGGGTTTTTAAAAATAAATAAATGTATTATTAGCTCAGTGCCCCAAAGTGCAACTCACACCAGATTCGTAGGTGCATTTTTAATTTTTTTTAAATCTGGATTATACTTGGATTGCTCTACCTTGAAGTCGATATAAACTTATTTTTAGGGTTTGCACAACAGTAACCAACCTCATGCTGATGATTTGCATTAACAATGAAACAGCTGTCCATGAGTGCTTCACATGCATCGTTTCCTAAGTTGTTTCAAAGCTGTTGTATACAGCAAACACAGACTCAAAGGAATCCATGTTTAAAATAGAATGAGGCAAAAATGTGATTATTTGTTAAAGTAATTTGCATACGCCTACCCAGAATCCTTTGCGTTAGTAACATCACCTCAGATTTGTGGTTTCTGTGGGAAAAAGCAAGTCTTTTTGTTTAACATTGTATTGACTATATATATTTTTATTTATTTTTTTTGTGCTAAAACATTGCGATTTAGTGTAGAATGGAAGGACCATGCCAGGGGACTCCAGACACTATAACCATTTCAATGAGATGAAGCAGTTATGGTGACTACAGTGTCCCTTTAACCGTCACGTAATAAAACAAAGAAAATGTCTGTGACGGCCAATTCAATATTGTTTAAGAATGAGCAATAGCAGTGCCTCTGTATTCTAGGTGATGGGGGTTAAATATGTACCCCTTTTTAATGTAGCCATCTGTTTGCTTTGCAGGTATGATTCATTCACCGGGGTGCCTGTTAGCCAGCCAAACATCTCATTGGAGAAGGCCAGCATTGTATTTAACATCGCAGCCCTGTATACTCAAATTGGAACACGCTGTAACCGACAGACGAAGGACGGACTGGAAAATGCCATCAGTGCATTTAAAAGAGCTGCAGGTACTCTTCCTACTGTAGACCTTAATCATGAAAGTATTGTGATGTCTGAATGAACTGTATCTGTGCATGAATTTTAATTCAAGCCCGGGCTCTATATGTTTTAACACATACACGTCTTTCAGATCCATCAGCAATCTGATTTTCAAAATGCCTGTATCAGTGAGGTTTTTTTTTTTTCCTGTAAATTAGGATTTATGTAAGAATGGACAGTGATGTATTAGGCCAAAGTAGCTGATTTTGACATGTGTTTTCTATACCGCTCAGTTAGTATGGCTTACAGTTTGCAGTTCCCTTGCCAGTTCTCTCCAATTCCCCATTTTTTTTTTATGTAGCAGTTATTTGGTGATTTCCATTGCACGTAGTTTTCTATAAAGGTGTGTTCTCATTTCTCTGAACCTTTGGGTGAATGATTAACTTATTCTGTTTGGGTTGGGTTGTTAGCAAGTCAAGTAACCAACACAAACTTCTGTTATTGGAAAATTCTACCTGCGAGACGCAAATGCGATTTCTATATCTCCGCTCCATCCAGCTAGTGGGTCATCACAAACAAAGCAAGCGCAAAATACTTGGAAACAGGACATCTGGGCTTCCATTTCTCCATGTTCCATACCATGATTACTGAGAACAACTTGTACTGTTTGACTTTGCAGACGTTTCCTCCAGAGTACTGCTTTGCGCATTTGCATAACATAGTTAAAGGATTACATCATATATAAACTGGCAAAAAATAAATAAAAAATTAATATATTTGAAGGTGCAGTCTAGGTGATAATGTCCTTCACAGTACAATAAAAGTATACTTTATAATTAATATGATTTAACCCCTTAAGGACACATGACGGAAATATTCCTTCATGATTCCATTTTATTTCAGAAGTTGTGTCCTTAAGGGGTTAAAGTGGTTTTTATTATTATTATTATTATTATGGACGCGTCTTGTTTTTCTTTGCTACAAAATAATTTACCACTTAAGGACTTATGATATTTCATGCCATCCTCACAATCTGGTCCTTAGAGATCCTGTGCAAGGTCCCTTTTGGGGTGCACTGCTTGGTGTAACAAAAGGCTCTGCCTTTAGTAGAATGAGAGTTATTACGGGAGGGGGGAGGTTAGGCAGACTATATTTATGTTATCGGCTGCTTTATTTGCAGTGGTAGCTGAGTGTTTTATGTCCCACTTTTGTTGCTTGCCTCTAGTTAATGATTATAGATGTGTGAACTGTGTATTGTTGTTTTACTTCTAACCTCTTTCTGTAAGCCATCGAGCTTGGCCGTTGTCACCCCTGCACTGCATTTAGTAATAGTATGGGTTAAAGGGTACAAGTTGGGATTTTATAATAATAAAAAATAAAATAATGAAATTCTACTTTATACATTTGTTCCTATCAAATCTGTAGTAAAGAGGATAACATTATTATAGATGCACGCCGTACACTTAGACAAATCCCTTGAACATATGTGTATGTTTGCGTTTGTTTTAGAGATAGTTTAAGCCCACTGCTTGTGTTTTGTTACTCTCCATAATTGGACAGATTTGTTTAGATAACTGGGAGCTGAGGTTAGCTCCAAGTGACTATAGACCCTGGTTTGAGAAAAACTGGAAGAACATCACCCAAAGACTCCATACAAAATAATTACCACTTGAAACTGCAGTGATTATGGTGCTGGGGTGTCTCTTTAAATGTTTATTTTGAACACTTTTGATTTGCCTTTCCTAGCATCTAATTAAACCGTTTATCTTCTTTATATGCCTAAGGGGCTCCCAAATCCTAAAAGTACTTAGCAAACCCTGATTCAGACAAAAAAAGTATTGGCCAAAATCTTCCATCTCCTGTTTGTTTGTTTCATTGAAAGATAATCTGGAAAATAGAATTTACCAAGCTTTATAGGCTTCTTGCTAGGGTGGGGGTAAAAAACTTCTAGGATGTAAAGGGCCTGGGGCCTTAATTAGATTTTGTAACCGAGGTCAGTGTACTTAAATAGATAGGGTGGACCTTAAGCTGTACAAACCCAAATAGGCACACTCAGAGTTAATGCTATACAGACTAATTTCCTCATACGTGTATACTAAGGCTTTATTCTGTTCCTTTTTCAGGTGTACTCAGCTATCTGAAGGAGACGTTCACCCATACCCCAAGCTATGACCTGAGTCCAGCCATGTTGGGAGCTCTCATCAAATTGCTTTTGGCTGAAGCCCATGAATGCTACTTTGAGAAAATGATCTTATCTGGGATCCAGAATGAATTCTGCACGCTGGCAAAGGTGGCACATGAGTCCGCTAAGGTATGTTACTTTATTACGTACAGATGTCATTTTTATGTATTGTAAAGGAATAATTTGCTGACAACTTCAAAAGTATGAACAAAAAAAATATAAATTTTAGATTTGGAGTGAGTGGGCAATATGACACGTGTGCATACCCATTAAAGTCTGTTATAATGACTCATATAAGGACCTGAGAATTGCCGTGCAGTTTAATAAAATGTATTTTAACACCTAGTCCAACTTCTAAAAGGGAAGCTATCACTTCTCTGGAAATTACACATTTGAATAAAACATTATATAATTTGTGTTAACCATTTTTTTGTTTTTCACATGATTCTGTTTTTTTTTTCAAATGTGTATTGCCAATTTAGTAACTGACTTCACAATCCAGTTCAGTCCTGGCACAGCCAAGGCACATGTTGTATTGTTGAGGGAGAAATAGAAACATTGTTTCTTTTTCTTCTTCTCATCTTTCTGTGCTGACTGCCAGGTGGAAAGGGCGTGGCTTATAACAGGGAGCCAAGATGGAGGCACCCAGTTCCAAGACCGAGGTAAATGTAGCAGTGTGGATTTCTACATTTCATTTTAATTTTGAGACCTCGCAAACACACATGTATTACACATAGTGTTAAGTAAAGAGAATTTGAAACATTCTTGGCAGTTTTATTTCAAATAGCGCTTGGATTCTCTGTTATAACAATTTCAGCATCGCTCATCCTAAGAGATCAGAAATTGCAGTTCCAGATTTTATTTTTCCATAAAAAAAAAAAAAAAAAAAATTGGTTGTCATCTGTACTGGAACTCCAATGCAGAAAGAAAACAATGAATTATGTATTATAGGCGATCTATACCTTTTTGCTTATGTGTGTTATATTTAGAATATTTGTTTAATTTTTTCCAGGTCAGCCAGGTCCACAGCCAAGTCTTCAATGCAATGATCCAAGCACCAATAAAAGAGAACGTCCCATATTCATGGTCGGTCATGGTCCAGGTGAAGGCAGAACATTACAAAGCCCTAGCACAGTACTTTGTGTCCATCATGCTCATCGACCACCAGTGTGAGTGGGAGCTATGTATTAATGAACCCATACTAACGTACTGACTTGTCAATAATGATCAGCTATGGGATTTCTCAACTAAACAGCGAATTACAGTGAATTACAAAATAGCAACATTTGGGACAAAATAGATCAATGGGAACATTCTCCCACTTCCTGGTTATTTTATTATTTATGTTTGATTTCAATCCACCGTGGTTCACTGTTTAGTGCACAAACCCCTATGTGTTGTATAAAACTTGACCTCTTTTGTCTTATCTATTCTAAATGGATGTATAGCAGCTGTTTGAAGATAAGATGTGTATAATTTAAAGTCTCCTTTTTGGATCCCATTCACAGTGAATTTGACTGATGATGAGGATAAGCAGGAGAAATGCCTGTCCCAACTCTATGACTCGATGCCCGAAGGACTGACCGCTCAGACCATATTGAAGGACAGACTGCAGCGGACACAGCTAGGTAAATTCCTTTTGAATAGTAACTCTATTCAACCCCTTTTTAAAGGGGCATGGCGGAGTAACCTGTGTTCCGAGGCACTCCTTTGTCCCTGCATTCAAACCTGAAATAATTACAGCTGCTGCAATTTGCAGGTGTAATCCCTCGCCTTCTATTCATGACATTACGAGGAACGTAATGCTGTACCTTACTGCATGTACACACGTTACAGGTCCCTAGCAACTTGTACCGGCTCTCATCAATTTCTGCAAGATAATCTGTGCTGTAACCGCTCTATGGCAATAGCATTGTTGAGTAGTTTCAGTCATGGTAAAAGGAATGAAGCTCCTTGGAGCTGCTAATGGACAGGTCACATAAGCTCCTATATGCTTTTTACGGGTAATACTTTACTTTTCTTTGTTTTATCTCGGTTCATTATCTCCATTATATGGAACGTGCAGTAGAAATGATTCATTGTTCCTAGTGGAAAAGAATTCACAATGTTTTTCAGACAGGTTGGTCTTGCAAGCTCCCCGAACACTCCCTTTTATTCTGCACATAGCTCACATTCCTGTTTGTCCCGTGACAACAGCAATACAAAAATCACTAATAACAAGTCAAGCAGTGAAACCTCACGCACGTACACAGCAACATTTTATTAAATACCTTTTCTTTTTTTAAACTTTTTTTTATTACATTAACCCCTCTATATCTGCAGACCTTGAGTGCATTAAGGTTTATTGTAATATTTAGGGGTCATTTCTCTGACTGCTTTACGGCCCATTGACCTTTATCACCCCCGGATTCAGACCTTGCAATTCTATTGTTTGACACAATGCAGTAAGATACTAATTTGCTAGTATTATCCAGCAGGCTTTTTTAAGATCCCAGCTGGGTACACAGCTGGGTAATTAAAGAAAATGTGCATCAGTTAAAAACGTTCAGGGTTATTAACTAAACCATATATTGTCAGAAATTTGTCAGGAAGTAGCAAATTTAATTCCAAGATAGCTGAGATTACTTTATGAATTAACTCAAATTAAAGGGACACTCCAATGCCCAAATACAAAATGAATTTTTAAAAATCACTGTTTTAAAGATATACCCCAAATGAAAACGTTCATGCATTTATTTTATGCGTTTTTCCATTGGGGCTATATCAAAAAACAGCTTGCAAAACCTGCAGGTCTGTTGTCTGCTGCCTTGACAAACCCTCCTTTTCTAACCCCAGCCAGACTTTCTGTGGCTGTCCAATTACAGACTTCCCAAGGTGCTCTCAACTGTTGCTGTCTCTTGAGTTCAGCACACATGAGCTAAAGAAACCAGGAAGTAAAATGACCGGTTGTCTGATTAAAAGCAGGGGGAGGGCGGGTGTAACCAGTATTATTTATAAAAGTGTAAATTTCTATTGAAATCTGCTCTTTTTCAAAAATGAAAAAAGAGGGGGCACTCTTCACACGTAAAGCTTTTCAGTAAGCTAAAGTTGTTTAGGGGTCTGGAGTGTCCCTTTAACATTTTTTACTTGAAACTTAAATTTTCCTAGTCAGTTCCCAACAACCCCCAGTTTAGTGATTAACCTCCTAAGTGCCGGTGAGTGAGCATTGCTTTTCTATGAACATCCTTCAGAGCTGGATAGAGTCGCCGAGTCGGGATCTATTAACTATAATCCATGTTTAAACTAGAGCTAAAATCTGGTTCTCTTTACCCTGCAGGGAAGGCACACCTGGCTAAAGCTATTGCAAGCCACGAAGAGGCTATCCGCTTATCCAACCTTTGTAGCAAGCTGAGGAATATCGATGTCCTCCAGGAAGTTCTGTGTGCATTCAACAAGAGATCCCAGCTTAAATTCTCTCAGCATCAGAGGACGGATGATTTCCTCAATTTACTCACAGCTCCTGATATTGTTGGTAAGTACCGTAGACTGATTTAAATCTACCGAGCCTGTTTAGATCATAAATGTACCTCTTATAGTAATATAGAGACGTATATATGCAATGTTTCCCCAGTGCTGTAAATGCCCAGTTTGCTGTAGAATTTAAGTGTATTCTAGACCTCCGCCTATACATATTGTCTAATGGGTCACAGTATCAACGTACAAACAAATGGTAGCTCACCAGCTCCTGTGTAACTATATTTCCCATGGTACTAAGAAAAAAAAAAAAAGCTTTTGCTAGACGTGATAAAATTGTGACATCTACTGGCATGATATGGAACTGCTCTCAATGAAAATCATTCTTTCGAAACCAATTATTTACTCATGTAAGTAGGCATGCTAGTGTGAAAAACTGTTGATCTAAGGAAAATTATACTTGTATTACACAATAAGAATTTTATTACATGGCTACAATATAAAAAAATATATATATATTTTATTTATTCTAAATAATCACACCTTTCTTATTTGTCAAAATAAGCCAATAAAACAGGTTAATTCTTCTGCACTTACCATTTTCACTCCTTGAAAATCCCCCACAAAAATTGATATAGCTGATACAGAATTTGCTTAGGAGTTGGGAGTTTGATGTTTGTTCATTTTGTTGAAATATGTGCCCCTGTATGACACAGGATCCCCCTGTTTTTATAAACATAACATCCCGTGGCCAATAAAAAGAAAGTGGTCCAGCAGTAACTACAGCATAACATGGGTTTCTTATGGTGATTATTATTGATTTTAAAACGTGAGTTTTTTTTTTGTTTTTTTCCTTACAGTTCTCTTTATAACCTGTATTTTTTTTATCCCCCAGGTAAGACAGAATATAAAGCAGAAAGCATTCCTCCTCAACTGTCGAGAGTGAAAGTAGTGGACATTTTTCAGAGACTGGTATGTTTTACAGGCAAATTTTCACTATTATATAATAATCTTTTGTTAAAGAAATAGTGTAAGTTGAGCTGTTTTGTGCAGATCCTCAAAATAACCTGCTCAATACCCAATTACACCAACCAAACCAGGCACCCATACTATTCTCTAAACCTGGCACCACTCGCAGTGTCACTAAACCAGGCACCCAGGGCTACACTATACCATTCTTTAAACAATGCCCAATTACATCAACTAAACTAGGCACCCGTAGCAATCACCTTGGCTACCCTCTAACCTAGATATCCTGCACAATGTCCAATTATCTAAACTAAAACAGGCCTCCAGTACGATGCCACATCGCATCCTGTAACTTTAATGATGTATCATGTTCGTTAAGAAAACTTCTACCACCTTCAGGGTCCGCTGTCAGCGTTTTCAGCAAAGCAGAGGTGGTCAGCTCCCAGGAAGATCCATTTGACGACTGAAGACGGGGACTTGGGATTTGTCTTACGAGGGGACTGCCCTGTGCAAGTGACAGCCATCGATCCACTCTGCCCGGCAGCAGTAAGTACATTTACTTTCTAAAATAAGCTATTTGTGTGATAATATAGAAATTGCCCTATTAGCTTCTCATTCTGGTAGTGCAATCAGAATCTAAACTAATTTCCTCTAGTTTTTAACTTGATTGAAGGCTGTGATCAGTCAGCACTCCAGATTACGTAAAGAGAGGCATGAGCACATAAGCCATGGAAATTTATTTCTGAGATTGTCCAATTTCCACTAGGAAGAAAAGCCCAAGTTAAATCCGGTTTACATCTGCGAAACAACATGATAACAGGACACACTAGGAAACTATATACAAAGAAATATGAAAATTATTTGATTGTTTGTGAAAATAACTATTATTGATCTGTTTTTAATGTGGATTGGCATAGACACATCAATGTATCTGTGTAAGAAGGACATATTATATTATTAGTGGGGAATTCCATTTCATGGATCTATAGTGTAGTGTGTCTGAAGGGCTGTTTGGTAAGAATGATCATAAATAATACGCAGCCTTCTAATTCCCTAAATTCAGTTAGTAGACTGCCAATAAGCATTGAATTGCTGCCTGTTGTAATAATGATTATGTTCCCGGACTTTCTGCTGTTAAATCCTTCATTCAGTCAAGGCCTCACATTTATTCAATAAAGAGTAACCGTAGGGAACACAAAAAGAAATTCAAAGAGAATTAAAAATTTGAGGCCAATATAGCCAAATTGAAAAATTCTTTGAAGTCAGCTATGTTTCCAATTTGATTATTTTGGCCTAAAACATGACATTAATTTTGAATTGCCAACAATTCACACTCTAATAGTGATGGTGCCGGGAGTCTGCATGTGCAATGTTTCGCTGTGAAATGCTGCACATACAGAGTTTAACCCCATTGCTGCCACCGATGTAACTCCACCTCCGACAGAATCATTGGGTGATTAGCCAGCGCTAAACAAGGATTCTGGGCTGGCTAATGTCAATCCTGTGTATATTGGACGTCTGTTGTCAGCACACACAGGTGTCCAGTTATGGCACGTTACCCCTCTCCATGCCGCCAATGTCCTCTCCTCAGCCGACCTCTTCCTACATTCTTCACCCGGCAGCTAATAGGAGTGACCGCAGCGGATAATTGGGCTGAGGGAAGACGTGGCCTTGGAGGTGGAGTTGGGTAAGGTTATGTTTTTTTTTCTTGTTTGTTTTAAGTTTTTTTTATTTTTTTATTTCAGTAACCCTTTAAGACACACACTGACTGTTTACCAGATATGTTAAACCCACTGTGACCCATAGAGTGTAAGTGTAGACCGATACACCGTGGACTGTCAATGACCTACATTCTATTAACTTGCAGAGAGAAGGTTTGAAAGAAGGAGATTACATTGTATCCGTAAACGGCAAGGACTGCAAGTGGCGGAGTGTAAACGAGGTCATGGGTATGATTAACGCAGCCAACGCAGATGTTGACGTTCAGGCCGTCAGCCTACAGGAGTCAACGTCGAGTATTGTGAGTATCATTTTAGTGCATTCAGCTGTGGTTAGTGCTGCGATGAACTGTGTGGGTGATGTTTCTAGATATCCACCCGGGATGTTTAACAGAGCGTGTATATGTATTGGGTCGGTATGTGTGTCTTCATGTTTATATTAATCGAGAGAGAATTAGTATTTTAATCTGTGTTGTGGGTTGGAACAGAGGGGTACCAATAAAGGGCTTGATTACCACAGCAAGTGGCCAATCGGAAGGATGATTAGAATAGCAAGCAGCCAATGGGAGGCATGATTAGAATAGCAAGCAGCCAATGGGAGGCATGCAGGGATTCACACTAGCTGCATATTTTACTTGTACTGAGTTTAAAATCACTAATTTTAGGTAACATCCCCTGTAGGCTTTACCAAAGCCACCAAGAGCAGTTATTCCTGCGTGCGTAATAAGTTTTATTTTTCGCATATTTTGACTAAACATTTTATAGAATGAACATGCTTAGGTAAAACATACAACAGAGTTATTCACTAAAGTGAGACTTCAAAGAGAATTTCGAATTTTGCCAAAACTAGCTGAACCAGAAGCTTAGTTGTTTTTAGGGAATTTTTCCAGTTTGTAAATTTGAAATTCACTTTGATTTCTTATTCTAGTGATTAACCCAGTAAGTTAGTCGTCATATGTTAAAAAACATTCAATTCAAACTTTTACTGAGGTTTGAGAGAAGAGAAATAGAACAAGAAGTCACAGAAACAAGTATATATACATACCTCCTAATGTGAGCTATGGATCTGGTATGGGAGGGCTCGGTGAGCCAAAGCGGTAGAGACTGGCCCACCCGCTAACTGGTCTGACCAAAAAAGTAGGGTGATTGACAGCTTGTCTGACTGGCCCACTCATATGCATAGCTTTCCTGGAAACGTGTTATTTTTCTCTACATTGCATGAGTACATCTTATAACGCCCTCACACTATAGTAATTGGGGACAATTCACTGGAGTCCCCTGATGCAGATGATGCTCCCATTGTCTGACAATGTAAAACATTGCCTTTTCCTGAGAAACGGTAATATTTTCATTTTGCCAAAAACACACATTTAGTGGCCGTCAAGCAGACTGCTTCAAGAGCTGCTTCCTCCTTAGGATACTATGATTTTTAAAAGTCTTCATGTTCATGCCATGCTTGATATACTTAGTTAATGCTTCTCATTTGATTACCATTGCATTAAACACTTTCATAGAGAGGCACTGGATTGGTGAATTCCATCAATTTCTCTGCAGGAGCTATCTGTTGTCGATGGCTCTCTATGAGAAGGTTTTGATTGGACAGAGATTATTGGTTGATGATCTCACTGTGGGAGGTTAGGCTGTTCTATGGTCTAAATCAGTGTTGGATGGATGTCATTGGAGCAGCCAGGTCATTGTTTGATGTTTGGTTTTTTTATACACGTGGTCTAATTTGATAGTTTTTTGTTATTCCTACAGCACAATAAGAGCGCCACTTATTACGCCGGCATGCAAAAAACATATTCCATGATCTGCCTGTCCATGGACGACGATAAGGCCAAGACACAAAAGGCCACAAAGAAACCATCCTTCCTAAGCTGGGGATTTAAAAACCGACAGAAAGCCGCAAGCACGCTCTGCCTGCCAACGGCAACAGCAGGAAAGACACCGACAAACCAGCTCTTCCTCTCGCCATACAACACTTTAGGAAGTGAAAGTGCAATGTACTAAGGAATTCTTAGCTGCAAATCCAATTTATTCCAAGGACATAAAAAAACTAAATAAGCAAACACTGTGATGGTTCTATGAACTCCTCTGAGCTGTGAGATACTCCGAAACTGCGAAAAAAAAAAATCTCTTATGGGAATTTTATTTCTTAAAACGTAATATTCTATAAGTATTACATTATAGGAATATTGCCAGCAAACTTTACTGCAAAACACACACACGCACGGTGACTGCCCACTTATCAAACCACCAGAAGAATTATTCTTTATGTCATACTATGTGATGTTGGAAAAACAAAAAGCATAAAAGAAGTGTAAATATATTTTACCTTTTATTTTATTTTTTTTAAGACTTTAAAATATATTTTTCAAAGTTATAGTTTATCATGTTGTGGTACTAAAACAATTCCTTTACAAATCGTGAATAAAGGAGTTATTTTGGGTTTGGAAGCTCAAATAATAAAACTCGATATTTTTTCCATTTCTACCAACTTCTAAATAATAAATATTTGGAAATGGCTGCCCCATACTTCATAATGCACAAGGTGTAGACAGTTTAGTTGAAATAGCCCAACCCCTTAATCCACAAATAACTGAAAATAGAAACTCCTCTAAGTAATTGATGTTACTTATTTAGAAATGTTTCTTGGTTGCTACAAAATAGCAAAAATTATATAAAAACACACAAAACCGTAAAATTCAGATTCCACTGAAAATAGTTTTTGTTTTTTTAAATCTCTGATCTGAAGTTATTTTGCCTGCACTATGTTCCTCTGCCTTTGCGATTTAAAAATGATAAGAATGTAATCTTCATATCAAGCATTCTGTAGCAGATGGTTTAATTTGTGCGTTTTAAACTTACACCCTATATGCTGGCAGGGCTAAATTTGCATCCCAGTTACCCTATTTTGATGGCGCTCAAAATAAAAAATAAAAAAGGATTAAATAAAATACCATTTGTATAAAAATGGTAAAATATGAGGCATTTAAATTTGCATAAGAGTAAAAGCAAAATTAGGATTAAATTATGTTTAGTGTAATATATGATGTTTGAGAAATGCCAAATGGTTCCCGGTTTATCTGGTTTCCATGAGACTAGATTTTAATGTAAAAATTCCAGCATAATGGAAAAAGCAAGTAAATATATAAAAAAAATATTTACTGGTCCTTTTTAAGGGGTTGTAGGCAATTAGCAGGAAGTGCATATATTGGAATAGGCGCACCAATAAATAATGACATTAAATTAAGGGAATTGTTTAGTGTGCATTATGGGAAATGTGACAATTGATCCTTTTAGAAGATACAGGATAATCTCTTCCTCCAGATGCTGCTATAGACTAAGTTGTGACGCTTAGGCTGTGCCTTTTCACAATCGCTGCTGAAGACGATTCAAGCTATAAGGCAGCGAGCTGGGTTCAAATGTCTGGAACATTCACCACTCTCTTGTGCAATGCTGAACTCACTGGCATGCTATAGCCTTCACAACGAATGTTACTATTGTTAATATTTATATGGAATATGTTATTAAGGTATTATTGTTTAATTAGACGTTGATTATTGTTGATAAGTGCTATGTAAGAAAAAGTAGCCAGCTCACTGTGTGCTTTATGTTAACCTTCCCTTAGGAAATACAACTAAATTGGAAGATAAGGGCAAAATGAATGTGTAAACCCCTTTACTGCCAGCAGGTAGTGCTATGTACAGCTATACAAACTGTCAGGAAAGGGGTCTAAGTGGAATATCAATTGACTGACTGGGATTTCACTCATTTCCTACCGGTCACTAAAAAGGGCAGTGATTGCTAACCTTGACACCATAAATTGTTTCTGGACTGCATTTCCCTTGATGCTCAGCTAGCTTTTAGAGTCAAAAAGCTAGCCGAGCATCATGGGAAATGTAGTTCAGAAACAATTTACGGTGTCAAGATTAGCCATCAATGAAAAAGGGTGATGGAACTTTTTCTAAAACAAGGTATGTCTGAGCTACGTGTGTATATACTGGTTTAAATAAAGTTTTTTTTGTTTGTTTTTTTAATTAGTGTATTTTTAACCCCTTAAGGACACATGACGTGTGACATGTCATGATTCCCTTTTATTCCAGAAGTTTGGTCCTTAAGGGGTTAAAGTGCATCTGTCACACAAATATGACATAGTATCACTTGATAGTGCATGAAATGTAATCTGTGCATTGTATTGTCTGTTATTATGGTACGGCTGATTTTAAAGGTCTAGGCAAGACGGGAGCATATGATGGGTTGCCCTACTTACCCTGCAGTATGTAGCAAGCAACCTTATGATTAAAAAAAGAAAATCAACTAACTGCAATGTATGACTTTAACATGCTGCAGGGTAACACTTTTCATGTGCTGTGTATCTACGTGAAGAAACCATTGTTTTCAAAGGGCAAGATTCTGCATTGAATTTCTGCACATTTTTCAGGAATTATGGGATGCCTTACTTTGCATTGTGGGTACGAAAACCCAGGCGTAATTAAGTTTTGACACTTCACATTTACTTTTTATATCATGCCTTGGCAAGCTCTCAAGTCATGAAGGAGTTCAATGTACTCTGGTTTGTAATCTTTGACAAAGTAATTCAGAGGTTAATGATGCAGACAATTACTGTTAAATGCTATGTGAACTGACAAACACATTTCTGTGCAAGTTTAATCCTACGACCTACTGAAGGACAACGGTAGCAAAAGTTATTTTATTTTAATGTATATTTTTTTATTTCAAGACGTTTTTCAGAATGAACTTTAACTGTGCAATATTTAGATTGTTGTTTAAGGGAGAGATACAATTAATGAAGTATTGTAAGCAGAGCACATTTTGTGAACTGCAAGTTTAACTCCAATAAAGGTTTATTAAAGCAAACCGAGCACATTTGTTTTGTTTATATTAACTTTCAGGTTTGAAACTTCTGATGTCAGCCTTTGCTCCAGTAGGGCTGTTAATTATCCAAACATGTTACTTGCTTAACACTCACACTGCCACACATACAGGGTATAAAGGACAGGGTTATTAACTTAAGTAAAGTGAGAATTAAACGTGAATTTCAAATATCGCAAATAGGGTCACAATAGCCATACTGGAAACATTCTCAAAGTCCGCTACTCTGGCTTTAAAGGGATACTATGGGCATCAAAACACATTTAGTTTAATGAATACACTTACCCCTGCAGTCTAACTGCTCAATTAAATGCCATTTAGAAGTTAAATTACTGTTTCTATTTATGCAGCCCTAAAATTTTCATTTAATTTTCCATCGGTTGTTAATTAACTTTAGACATTTACATAAAATAATCCAACTTACACATAATGTGCATTATAGGAAGTTTAAACATTAGGTGTCTCTTTACAGGAAGTGCTTCGGAAGGCTGTGCAAGTCACAGGCAGGGAGGTGTGACTAGGGTTGTACAAACAAAGTGATAGAACTCCTAAATAGCAGAGAATTGAGTAGTTTGACTACAGGGTTAAGATCTGTACATCGGAATGGCTTAATTAAGCTAAAGTTGTTTGGGTGCTTAGCATCCCTTTAAAAAACTTTTGGGTGACTTTAATGATCCTGTAACCCCTTAGTGACCAGGCCATTTTTCAATGTTATTACCGTTAAGGACCAGGGCTCTTTTTACATTTCTGCAGTGGTTGTGTTTAGATGTAATTTGCCTCTTACACATTTACTGTACCCATACATATTATATACAGTTTCTTGCTATTAAATGTTCATTCTAAAGATACCATTATTTTCATCATATCATATAATTTAATAGAAAAAAAAAAGTAAAATATGATGAAAAATGGGAAAAAAAACCACAGCTGGCCATCATGCACCCATGTCCCAGTTGGAACATTTCTGAAGCCGGCCAATGTAATTCACTCCCGCCAAACCGTATGTTTTTGAAAAGTAGACACCCTTGGGCATTTCACATGGTGGCATTTCAACACTTTACATGCACTAATTCTACCACCAGTGTCTGTCAAACGTTTGGGAAGTCATTTTTTTTTTTTTTTTTTGGTGGTGTTCTTTTTCACTCACACATTCTACTTTGGGCATAGATTCTCAGCTCCTGTTAGGTGTTACTGCCAAAGGACACCCCAATATGTACTCGGCAACATCTCCCGAGTACAGCGATACCACCCATGCATTTGTCGTTCACTGGGGGTGCAAAGCAAAATGTCTGATATGCGTTTTTCAAATTTACATATTTTGTTTGCCTATCTTCCTTTTGGGGGCCTTATCAGATATCCCAATGTATTTTCTTGCCATGAGCGTGCATATATTTGAAAAGTTGACACCCTGCAGTATTGTATATGGAGTGTTTTGATGCCTTAGATGCAATCATTTTAGTCAAAAAAGTTGAAGAAAGTGTGTGGAGGTGTTCAATCTGTTTTTGACTGTGATTTAGGAGAGCCCGTTGTTGGTTATTGCAAGAAAACACCCCAGGTTGTTTTCTGCAAGGCCTCCTTAGGACACCCATGCCCCCCATGCATAGGTTTGCCAGGATTTTGGGAAGGTACGGTTACAATTGTATGACTTGCAATTTGAGTTGAAATTGAGAGTATTTCTTCTGATAGGCCTATCTTTAGCTTGGGGCTTATCACATACCCCAGTTTTATATATTGCCATGAAAGGGTACATACTTGAAACGTAGACACCCCGAGGTATTGCATGTGGAGTGCTTTGATGCAACTTTTTTTAGCCAGACAAAAAATAAAAAAGTTGAACGTGTGTGGAGGTAACTGTTCAATCCTAATTTTTACACACACATTGCTTTTTGACTGTGATTTAGGAGAGCCTGTTGTTGGTTATTGAAAGAAAACACCCGAGGTTGTTTTCTGCAAGGCCTCCTTGGGACACCCATGCCCCCCATGCATAGGGTAAATGTAACAAAACCAGAAAAAAGAAAAAAAAGACACAAAAAAACTGAATGGCAAATGTTAAAAAATAAATAAAAAATGGACCAGCGGGTGGTATCGTTTGAAGCAGTCTCCAATGCAGAGTCCAGGCTGTCCAGGGCAATCAGGACAGTGATATACACTATATTTTCTCTGCCCCCTCTTAGAACAGACCCTGCATCTTTTTTGGGGATTCTGCTTTGCCGCAGTAGGGGGAATTTTAAAAATAAAATGTGTAGCCCCAACTCTGCTCTCTCCCATCACCGCCCGGGGAGCAGGTGCATCACGGTACAAAATCCCCGAAATGATCTGGAGCTGAAACTGTAAAAATCTAGATTGCAACCTTTTTGTACCAGGCCCTTGTCTTTCGTATAATTAGGTAGGGCTGCAGCAGCTGATCTGCCAGATCAACCCCACCCATATGCCGGTTATAGGCCTTGATGCACACTGGCTTCCTTGTTCTCTCAGCTCTGCCACGTACAGGGACCTCCACAGTCCCCTCAGTGTGGATGGTGGTAAGAAGGTACACATCCTTCTTGTCTCTGTACTTAACTGCCAACAGCTCCTCTTGGCGCAGAGCTGAGGTCTCCCCCCTTCGTAGCCGGGTGCGTGCAAGTTGTCCTGGGAAACCTGTGCTGTTCTTTTTGATTGTGCCGCAAGCTATAGTACAGTAGTTGAACAAAAGGACACTTGTATAAAAATTGTCATTATACAAGTGGTACCCTTTGTTCATCAGGGGGAATATCAGGTCCCAGACAATCTTGCCACTGGTTCCCATATGTTCTGGGCAACCTGGAGGGTCACGGTGGCTATCCTTTCCCTCGTACACCCGGAAGGCCAGAGTATACCCAGTCTCGCTATCACAGAGCTTATACATCTTTACACCATACCTAGAGCGCTTGGAAGGAACATACTGCTTGAATCCCAGCCTTCCCTTATACTTCATCAGGGATTCATCCGCGCATATATTCCTTCCAGGTGTTTAAGCCTCTGCAAACCTGGCAGCGAAGTGGGTAATCATGGGGCAGATTTTATACAGCCTGTCAAACTGGGGATGCTCCCTAGAGGGACACAGGCTATTGTCGCTGAAGTGCATGAAATGCAGAATCATTTCATACCTCTTCCTCGACATACATTGGGAGTAAATGGGGGTAGAGCAGATGGGGCTACTGCTCCAGTAGGAGCGGATGGAGGGCTTCTTTATGATGCCCATCAGCATAGTCAATGCCCAGAATCTTTTAAATTCTGGCACATCGATGTGGGCCCATTGCTGCTTTGCCAAAAAAGAGTCAGGATTTGTATCTCGGAATTGATGGGCATATAAATTAGTTTGGGCGACAATGTTCCCCAATACATCATCGCCCAGAAACACCTCCATAAACTGCTGAAGGCTAAGTCCTGTGACATCCAAATGAATGCCAGTAAAGGATGGGATGTCTGGCCTCTGGCGATGAGGCACTACCCACTCCTCAGCAGTTCTGCCAGCTGGAGCAGCACGTCTCCTTCTGGCAGGGGGACTAGCAGCCACAGATACAAGATCACTAGATACATCACTAGCAGCAGACACTGTATCTAGTGATGTATGTGAGCACCTGGCAGGGTCAAAATCAGGGTCGAAGTCTGACATAGACGCGTCAGACTCTAGCGCAAGGGTGGCATATGACTGCTCAGCGCTGGTTGACTTCCGTGACCCATGTGACACGATCACAATCACTTTACTTTGTGACCTGTCACAAAAAAAAAAAAATCAGACAAAAAAAATTAACCCCTAAAAAAATGAACAGACTGCAAAATAAGTGCTGCTGTGCAAGAGCCTGTGATCTGTATAGTGATCACTGGCAGGACAGGGGTTAATCATTCTGAAAAGCGCTTTTGGGTCTGAAAAAAAAAGGATCACAAAAAAATTAACCCCTAAAAAAAAAATGAACAAACAGCATAAAAGTGCTGCTGTGCAAGAGCCAGTGATCACTGGCAAGACAGGGGGTTAATGGCTCTGAAAAGAGCCCTTGGGTCTCACGATTTTAAAAATCCCTACCTATAAATATCTAAATCTCTCTAGCTAAACCACAGATCTCTCTCCCTCTCTCACTAAAACACAAGTGAAGAGAGGGAGGCAGATCCACACTAATCAGAGAAATGGGGAACACACTTGGGATGAAATTGCTAATGGGGCAAGCTGTGATTGGATGACCCCAGCCTGCCCCTTATGATGAGGCTGGCTATGGACACCACCAGAAGCCATGATTCACTGCTTTTAGAAAGGGGGGGGATGTTAATATTGATCATTTTATTTATTTTGTATATATTATTATATATGCGCTGAGTGCCAGGACCCCTCGAGGCACTCAGCACATGCAGAGCATCACTGCAATACTATCAGAGCTTCCAGCGCTCAAAATAGCTGCAGACGTACCAGGTACGTCCAAGGTCATTATGGATCGTTTTTTGCCAGACGTACCTGATCCGTCCGCGGTCGGGAAGGGGTTAAACACATAGTTAATCCCTTTCTAGCAAACAAACTTCTTAATATGCCAGTTTGGCGTTTGGTTGCATTTGTACATTCAAGGTAATCTCTATATTTGACCTCAAATTATCTTAATCAATACACAAATTGTAGTTTTGGAAAACTGAGATGTCCTGAGACAGATTCAGGAATAATCGAATAACATTCCCAATGTTATTTTTTCAGAATGGTTTTAAAATGTTTGTGTGTGCTGTACCATGTGGAATACCAATACAAAGAGAAACCGCAGATTACTTAAGCTATTGACATATGAAATTCTGCCAGAACAATTAAACCTAACTTCCTGCTCTACGAAACAGACCTAAGGCAGTAAAAATATGCAAATTTAATATTAGTGTCTAAAACACCCTAAGAGAAAGTAATGCATTCAGTTCATTTATTAAAAGGTTAAAAAGGCCTTCCTGCTTTGGCCAGGAAAAACAAACCAGTATAGAAGTTTTATCTATAAAGGGACATGGATCACTTGACAAATTATTACTAATTTTTTTTTTAATTTTAAACTAGCAAACACTTTTAAACAAATATACAAACCAAAATAAAGCAAGAAAAACTTAGAAAAGTATGTAATAACCGTTTATAAACTTGGTTAGATTGCATTGTTAGGCACGCCTCTCAACTAGGTTGACAGTGTTTTTGTATTCAATAACCCTATCTGTCTTTTTTGTGTTTTGTAAAGTACCAAAACATTAAATACTAGTGTGGTTACGTGCTCACAGGGGTACAATACTCTGTATAATGAACTTTTAGTCCCAAAGGGTCATGTTCGTGTAAAAAACATGTGGACGTTTCTCGCTATTTCTCGTCCCACTACGGCTTCCAGCTGTGTGAGAGAAGCGTTGGCTATCAGGTGGATACTGGGGAAATGCTGGAGAAGCTGCTGTGCCTTCACTTTCCCGATGCCTGGTATTGTCTGCACTGTCTGCAGGACGTGGGCCTCCCTGAGCTGGTGGGACTTTTTACGACTGAAAGGATTGCTGAGCCGCTCTCTGCTTCGCTCTTGCACCTAAAGGAAACAAAAGTAAAAAGTTGTCAACATTTACATAAAATACACACACAACATATAATTAGATTGTTATAAAATATACTTTATTCTGCATCAGTCTTTTAATTTGTTTCTCATTTAGAACATGCTGTAATCTTCTACAACATTTCTTTAAATAATCCCCCTCCCCACCGCCCCCCAAAAATCTAAATCCCAATACAACACACCCATCTTTACTTACTAAATGTATGATAAGCTGTGCAGCCTCCGCCTTATTGGTCACTGGGAGAATTACCATACCGAGCTCCAACACAATGAATTTCTGTATAACGGGGAAATACTGCTCACTGAGACGGGTTTTTTCCACGATTGTGATCCCTTTCAGGCTACAGGCCTTTAAAAGAGAAAATGGCAAACAAATGAGGCTCTAATGAAGAAAACGTGGCATCAAGCCTCTGTCTGCATATATGTAGTTCATTCTGCATTCGTTTCGTCCATGTAAAAATATTAATGAAACTGCTGTGTAAGGTTAATGATGCTGTGGTGTGCCTTGCATAGCCTTACTGACCGCTCCACTCATGAATGCACCCAATAGCTCTAACAGAAATGGAGTTTGTCGGAGGATGTGCACAATTCAGTAGCAGATGTTTACAGAGTCAGCAATTTTGTCAATCACTTCGATAGATGTAACAGAGACAATGGATGGAATCCATGCAACAACCATAGGGTGCATGGGACTTTGTGTCCCTTTAATAAGATCACGTTAGGTTATAGTATACATTTTTTTTTTTAATGTTTGGCAATTGGCTCCATGAAATCAAATCTCGATGTTATTTTTCATAAGTATATTAAAAAAAAACATACAAATATAAACGTACTTTTCTAAATCGAACAAGCCTCCTTCTGAAAGTGTTTCCAGCCACGATATCCGCTTCTGATACATACAAGATGCAGGCTCTGTTAGACAGATGGAAATCAACCAATCCCAAACCATCTTCAAACACAAGGGTTATTTTACCTGGGAAAAGAAAAATTGGAATATGAAAATATATTAAACAGTCACGCTTGAAGTGAGGGTCAGAAATGTGTATTGAGGTCTCACCATAATAAGGATGAAATCAAGTGACAAGAAACAAGAGAAGAGTTGCTAACATATTTCAAAAGTTGCTCCTGCTGAGGGGTTTGATTGTTAAATAAATCTCAAAACTCATATCGAGATATTCCATGAATGGGAATTGATGGGAACTCAAACTGAATTTAAAATTTTAGGCGGACGCTACCAAAATGAACACACAGAGGACGTTCACATTTTACATTTCTGACAATGCGCGGTTTACAGAGTAACCACGTTAAAAGGTTCAAAACGTACATACCCTGTATTAACTGAGCCAGCTCCGTTCCTCTCCATTTTTCATTTCCTATGGCGTGTCCATAAGGAACCGCCGAGGCGCCCACCCTCACTGGAGTGACTGCAGTTCCCGCCATTGAAATAACTTTGTCATTTCATTATTAAGCTCCACAATGCACTGGGGAAAAAATAAATAATAAGAATTAAACAAAAAAGGATTTCTAGGGAATTTTCAGGGAAATTGAAAGGTTTGCAAACACTGACATACATCAAGGTACCTTTTTTTTGGTGCATTTATTAAGTTTAACATACGCACTAGCATTGCCCCAACGGCTCTTGCCGGCACATCAGCATATAACATCTGCTAGGAATGCATAACAGTGCACATAATATATTTTGAAGAGAAAGACAATAGTGTGTTGTGTTAACGCTTGTAATGTGTCTCAGTGGACTATGACTTATAAACTAGGAATTATGCCTCGTGTAACTTGCTCTTATGTCGCTTTGTCATCTGGGGGATAAAGCCCCCAAAGGGAAGTCATCTGTGGATATTAAGAGCTCGTCAGGTCGTACTAAGTTGTGCATTCTCCCCTTGGTCGCTTAATTATGTTATAGGCTTATGTTATAGGCTGTAGTTAACATTAAAAAGGGAAAGAGAATACAGAAATAAGAGACCGTAATGTTTAATCCTATTTAAGGCTATTAGTTGTCGCCTAGTAATTGAGGGTCTTGCTTGGTCCCTAAACGGAGGGGACGTCGGGGGAAGAGATAGGGTGATGGGTACGGGCTATAGTGGGCACAGTAGTAGTAGTAGGGGCGCACAATATAAAGGTTGGGTCAAGGGGGAGCTAGAGTCTTAATCTGAGGCGTGGTTCTCTATGTCACTGCTCCTTGTCCATGTCGTGGGACGAAAGGGGTGACTGTCCACGTCCCATTGGTATCTTGGGCCCTCCGCTCCTGCGGGGCGTCTCTGATGCCAAGAGCTGCAGGAATGTGTTGGTCTCCGTTGCATGGGTGGCCTTCTACTGGTTGCCGTCTTTGATGACCGTGAGGGATCTAGGGGTAGTCCATCTATATGTTATCCCCGCTTCTTGCAGTCGTTGGGTGATGGGTTTTTTATAGTTTTTCTCCACAATAGAGTGGTGCGTTGTAGGTCTTGGAAGAATGAGATCTTGTGAGTCTCAAAGTCCATAGGCGATTTATTATGGATTGCTCTCAGCAAGGCTTGTTTGTCTTGTCCCGCATAGCAGTATAATGTCCCTAGGTGCTATGAGCGGGGATTTTGCGATATGGTATGCGCCGTCCTGTGCGAATTGCTTAGCTTGTTTTGCTGGGAGTAGTGTAGGTACTAGTCGTCTTATGAAGTGCGGTAGTTCTTCTGTAGTCACTGTGTCCGCGACCCCCCTGATCTTGATGTTCTTCTGGCGGGATCTTTCATCCAGTGTATCTAGTCTCAGAGACATGTTTGAGTGCCGCACTTGTAATTTCGTTACGGAATCTTTCACTGCTGCTAGATTGCTTTGCAGGTCAGCTATGTTTGTGTCAGATGCCTGGATGCGGGCGGTAACCGCCCATACCTCAGTCCGCACTGTGGCTATGTCCGCGGCAAAGAGCTTTTGGATTCTGTCGAAGAGGTTATCAATGTCCTGTTTTGTTGCAGGTTCTATGTTGGCTGGGGTTTGTAGCCCCCCCTGTGGGTTGTCCCTGTGTGTCTTCACTCACCCCATCCTTCTCCTGGTAGTCATAGACCCCTATCTCGGCCTGCACCAGCTCTCTGGGCTTAGGTGTGCGTTGGAGCAGCTTGCCGGTGTCCCGTGTGTCTTGGGGCACAGATGCCTGAGATTTGTGGAATTTTTTGCCTATCTCCTCTGGTGTCTGCGCTTGCCTATGATGGGGTGTGAGCCAGTCTGTGTCCCACCAAGCCGCCGCTGCATGCGGTGAGTATCTCTGGCTGGCCGTGTGAGTGGCCTTAGGAGGCCAGCATTTCTGCTTTTCACCTGGTTGCAGGAAGAAAGGCATCAGCGTGTGCCGTCTGATCTCCCGGGGCCGAACCCAGTCGTCCTGGTGGTCAGGGTGCGCTTGTTTAGGTATTATTTTCCTATTTTTCACTGCGGGATTAGCGGAGCTCCAGAAATGGCGTTTGTGCCGTTCGCCCGCTAAGCCTCGCCTCCATCAAGGTACCTTTTTAACATTCCTGGTGTGATTTATTACATTAGTAAAAATTGTTTTGTAAGTCCACCCATAGGAATGCTGTTCTTTTTGTATGTAGCATTCATGTGCTGCAGGAGCAAAATCAGTCACTCCATCAAGAATGGATCCCAAAGGAGCAGATGTTCCTTTCTGACAGCATCTGAATCCCACACACAGCAGGGCAGAAAAAGGGTTCTGCATACATAGGTATGTAGCATTCATGTGCTGTAGGACAGAAATCAGTCACCCCTTTAAGAACGGATTCCAATGGTACAACTGTATGGAGTTCCCTCTCTGATAGCATATGAATCCCACACACAGCAGGACAGAAAAGGGTTCTGCATACAAAGGTATGTAGCATTCATGTGCTGCAGGAGATAAATCAGTCACCCCTTTAAGAATGGATCCCAAAGGTACAACTGTATGGAGTTCCCTCTCTGACAGCATATGAATCCCACACACAGCAGGACAGAAAAGGGTTCTGCATACAAAGGTATGTGGCATTCATGTGCTGCAGGACAGAAATCAGTCACCCCTTTAAGAATGGATCCCAAAGGTACAACTGTATGGAGTTCCCTCTCTGACAGCATATGAATCCCACACACAGCAGGGCAGAAAAGGGTTCTGCATACAAAGGTATGTGGCATTCATGTGCTGCAGGACAGAAATCAGTCACCCCTTTAAGAATGGATCCCAAAGGTACAACTGTATGGAGTTCCCTCTCTGATAGCATATGAATCCCACACACAGCAGGACAGAAAAGGGTTCTGCATACAAAGGTATGTAGCATTCATGTGCTGCAGGAGATAAATCAGTCACCCCTTTAAGAATGGATCCCAAAGGTACAACTGTATGGAGTTCCCTCTCTGACAGCATATGAATCCCACACACAGCAGGACAGAAAAGGGTTCTGCATACAAAGGTATGTGGCATTCATGTGCTGCAGGACAGAAATCAGTCACCCCTTTAAGAATGGATCCCAAAGGTACAACTGTATGGAGTTCCCTCTCTGACAGCATATGAATCCCACACACAGCAGGGCAGAAAAGGGTTCTGCATACAAAGGTATGTGGCATTCATGTGCTGCAGGACAGAAATCAGTCACCCCTTTAAGAATGGATCCCAAAGGTACAACTGTATGGAGTTCCCTCTCTGATAGCATATGAATCCTACACACAGCAGGGCAGCACTTTTCCCATCCTGGGCCTGGCATCCCCTGTGTAACCTGCCATGTTTAATCACATTACAACCACGTGACCCCTGAAACTCACCTCTTCCAGCCTGCAAGTCCAAAACAGCCGCCAATGCACACCACCAAACCCTGATTGGCTACCGCAACTGTCTGTCATAACGAACTGTCCAATGAACGCAGAGCGTCAGTCAAGTGACAGCAAATACCTGTCTGCGTGCTGGACACGCCTTCTTGTTGGCACAGGGAAACTTTCCCTTTTACAACGACGCGTCCTGTTGCTAAGTGACCTAATAAGGAGCCAGCTGATTGGTGGGGGCTCCCTCACTGACCAATCGGAGGCGCTGTTGATAGCAGGTCACGCAGGAAGCGGCCGTTGTGCTGGTTGAGAGCTGCCCGAACCTCTCACAGAGCCCAGAGGCAGACCCCGAGCCATGAATTTCTCGTTCAGGAGGAGAGACAGGAGCCCGTTTGTGAGTAGGAGCCATGAGACTGATTCAGGGAATAGGCTTCCTCCAGAGGTGGACTACATCTCCCATAATCCTCTTACTGACATAATGCTGGCAAAGCATCATGGGAGATGTAGTCCACAACATCTAGAGATTGCCCCCCCCCCATATCTAGATTGTAAGCTCTTTAGAGCAGGGTCCTTATCGACCTGGTGTGTAATTGTCTCATTTACTGTAAAAAAAAAATTCAAATTTTGATGGTGTAAAGGGCTGCGGAATGCGTTGTCGCTGCGGAATGCGTTGTCGCTATATAAATGGCGATAATAATAATAAAGCAGTTTTGGTGTATAGATCACGCCCCTGCAGTCTTACTGCTGAATTCTCTGCCATTTAGAGGTTAATGCAGCCCTAGCCACACCTCCTTGGCTGTAACTCACATGGAAAAAAAAATGCTACATTTTCAGCCAGATCTTACAGTACAGTGTGTTTACTTCGGAAGTTATTGTCGACTTCTCTGTTAATAGTCTAGAGGAGCCTTGCGTGCGCATTTAACAGAGCAGTCGGCAATAACTTCTAAAGTAGGAAATGAAAAAATTGTGTGATAAAGGAAGTTTATATGTTCGATTTTTCTTTACAGCAAGTGCGTTGGGTCACATTTCAGGGAGATGTGGAAAGGGCTGCACAAACAAAATAATTTAACTAATGAATGGCAGATAATTGTGCAGTGAGGGTGCAGGGGTATGATATATATGCCAAAACCACTTCATTAAGCAGACAGGTTAATTATTGGCCCGTACAAAGAACAATAAGGATGTGGAATACTCTGCCTGATGAGGTGGTTTTATCAGTTTCTGTACAGATGTTTAAACAGGAAATGGATAAATACCTGAAAAAACATAATATTAAGGGATATAATTTTAATAGGTGGGTTAACAGTTATGTGACTGCTATTCCGGGGTCTAGAATTTATTTTTTCCTAGTTTTTTGAAAAACATTCCAAACTGGGTTTTTTCCCCCCCTACTTTTGGGTCAACAGCAAAAAACAGTTGTGAGAAAAGGCTGAAGTTGATAGATGCAGTTCTTTTTTTCAGCCTGTGTAACCGAGGAAACCATTTGGATGATGGTGTTAATCGCTCTACTATAACATTTCCCACTTTGAAGCAGTAGGCACTTACCCCCACCTACTCCTAGAAATCAAGAGAACGGAGTGATCACTCAAGTTCACGTTAGTCTTTCAGTGAGCTATGCTACCATGGGCACATTGATACCTCTTTTGATGTAAAAGTTTAAATTCCTGAGAATTCATACTTTAGTGAATAACTGTACATTGATCATCTCCCATGGCTTGTACAAGTATATAATTAGCAAGTACATCAAGGTATTGAAGAATGCTGTATTGTACATATGCCTTTCCATTGTATATCACTTCAGAATACATTGGCGCTTTATAACTATGGTAATTATATTAATCTGTAAGAACGAATACATTTAATCTGACTGACATATTTTGTTGTGCTTCAGGCAGTTTAATTTTAGTTTGAAACAATTTTCAAGGTTGTAACATTAACTTCCTGTGGTTTAATACAGTTATACTGCATGATATGGGTCTAACATGTTCGATTAAATTAAATTGCAACTTGATTTGAACTTAATTTGAAAAGAAAATTATTAGTAAATTGCTGTGAAAAATATAGTGTAGAATGTTATTCATTTTGCTATACTGTAATTAATTAAATTCTTTGGTAACCCCTTTAACTTGTCTAGAGACACATAGCTCATGGCTTGATCCCAGCAGCTACGGTAGCTCCTAGATCAGCTGTTCCCCGTACTCCTCCCCCACGCAGTCCAAACCCCTCCCCAGAGAGGCCCAGGTATGTTCTGGCACGTGTGACTTTTTTTTTATTCCTTCCTTGATGCATGATAAATCCTTTTGCATGTTAACTTAGAATTTTCCCAGCTGTTATTTAATGTCTGAGTATTCTGCTATTTTTATAATCAATGTCTAGAATTTTTTTTTTCTAAAAGGATCAGATAGGTAAAAAATAAAATGGCTTGTATAAATAAATATTTTTTAGTTATAATTCTGTGTTATGAAAAACTCTGAAAAAAGGTCATGTTGATTTTCTTTATAGCAATTATCTTTTTTACTGGTATAGTTTGATGACATATCTATTTGTACATTGATAATCTTACATTTAACTATCTAATTCATTTTTAGGTCCGCTCTTGCAGCAGCAATTCTCTTGACTTCTTTAACAGGCCGTACTGTAGCCATTCCTCAACCACGTCAAAGGTCATTCTCTGAAAATGACAGTTCTTACGTTGAAGACACAAGTATGATTGATCCATACGCAACTGCAAGAGACCTTGGATTAGAGTAAGTAAATAAACAGGAAATTGTAGTGAGTAAGTATTACATTAAAGTTAGCCTGTAATGCCTAGCATGACTTAAGTCTATTCACTAAAAACTGGATTGCAACAAATGCTGATTTGGAAAAATGATCGAACTTGGCATTAAAGGGACACTATAGGGTCAGGAACACAAACATGTATTCCTGACCCTATAGTGTTAGAACTACCATGTGGCCCCTCTTTCCCTCCCTGAATATAGTATTATCTTATCTATACTCCAGTCTGCTGCTGCTGGCTCTGCCCCTGATCTGCCAATTACCAATTAGCCAAAATAGCCAATTACAATGCTTCCCCATAGGATTGGACTGTCAAGAAGGCAGATCAGGGGCAGAGTCAGCACAAGCCAAACACAGCCCTGGCCAATCAGCGTCTCCTCATAGAGATGCATCTATATGAGGAATACGTTCAGTGTCTCCATGCAGAGGGTGGAGATTCTGAATGTCAGTAACACTGTACAGCACTGCCCCAGGCAGATCTATCAGCCATCTGAGGAGTGGCCAGTGGAGATATCCCTAGGCTGTAATGTAAACACTGCATTTCTCTGAAAAGACAGTGTTTACTGCAAAAAGCCTGAAGGGAACGATTCTACTCACCAGAACAAATACAGTAAGCTGTAGTTGTTCTGGTGACTATAGCGTCCCTTTTAATCATGACACAATTTTAGCTTATAATTTTCTGTCGGTTTTTCAGTTGACTACACTTTAGTATTTAGAGCATAAACCCCACAGCCACAGTTTCACCATTTCATCTCTGCACTTTGACAGCCACATTGTTAGCTA